TAACATGTTGTACTTGTGTACTTGGTTACTTCCCACTTCCCAATCGCCAGTGTCCTTTTGGTCCCGTCTTGACGTGCTTCTTGGGACTGCGACGTCCCGCTTGGCTATATCCCGTGACTGATCACCTCATCGCCCGTTTCCATCAGTATGGTTCAAACAAGTCTCGCAAGCTGCATTTCTCATGCCACGCTTGGTGCAGCGCGCCATGCCCGGTCCGGCAGAGGGCCGCCACGTAGCTCTCTCCACCGACACACTCATCTCTTGCCTTACAGCCGCCCCTCACCCACTGCTCGTAGCCTTCATCGTCTTTTCCGATCAAAGCTGACACTCCAGATGCGGGTCCATGTCTTCGCTGTCAGCGTTTGGGGGCTAGCTGCTGGGCAAAGCAACTCGCTACTCAACATCAGACATGCTAAGGGAATGCGCCTACAGCGGTCTACCACGTCGGATGCATGTGGGTCTGCCACCACAAGAGCTGGGTGCACCTTGCGATCCCAAACCGTTGGGAAGTGCGAGCCGGTCGACTAAATAACGCACAAGAACGGTGTCTCTGTGGTGTCGTAGGCTGAGTGATGCTGCAAGCCTACATGCGTGCTCGCCTCATTCGCGCGCTCTGCGTGCTAAAATTCCTCCCTGTTTGATGAGTTGTATCGAAGTTTGCAGTGCCAAATCGCCGTCTTCACACGATTAGCAACTTTTCTCTCTGTTTCCAGCCTCGCACATAACGTCACATGCTGCAGCTACGTGTACACGGGTTCCATCTCCGCATCCGCTTCACTAGGGCCTTGTAGCGGTCAGCGTTGACGACATATAAGTAGCATTTACTATTGTCTTAGTTCTCCAAATTTCTCCCTCAACAACTCTCCCCCCATACCCCGCTGCCTACACTGACCGACCACTCTTTCGAACCATTTGTTATTTGTCCAATACGTCATTCACAAACACACACACATACCCTCGCCCTAAATGTGCAGGTTTACAATTGCCACACTCGAGTGTGGACACCCGCAGGAAGACCATGTCGACACACACAACTGCCCCTACTTTCAAAAAACAAAAGTGGCCTGCGACCGTGACAACCCAAATAACCGAGATCGTTTCACAATAAAAACATGGGACCGCAATGGTATTTGTAACAGATGTCTTCAGCTGTCACGTGAAAGAGAAGAAGACGCCATGCGCCGCGAGAACGAGAGATGGAGAGAACAGAGCCTCAAAGATGCCAAAGAGGCAGAAGAACAACTACGTCGTGGCGAACAGGAGCTGTTTGACAGGAACCGCAGAGAGGCTGAGAAGAAGCGTCTTGCTGAGAAGAAAGCCCTCGACGATCTCCACAGGGAGCACGAGAGGGAGCAGCAGGCGCGGAAAAGGGAGGCCAAGCGCCAGGCTGAGGAGAGACGCCAAGCTGCTGAAAAAGCTCTTGCAGAACTCCAACGGGAACAGGAGAGGGACGATGAGATGAGACGTCTTGCGGCTGAGAAGGCCTTTGAGGAACGCCAAAGGGAGCAAGAGAGGGAAGACGAGGAGAGACGACAAGCTGAGATAAGAGCACGTGAGGAACGCCAGAGGGAGCAGGAGAGACTCGAGGAGAGCAGACGTGTTGCCGAGGAGAGAGAGCGAGCTGAGCGTCTAAGACAGCAGGAGCAGGAGCAGGAGAGAGCGCGGCAGAAGAAGGAAGAAGAGCGACGTCTCGCTGAGAAGAAAGCCCGCGAAGAACGTGAAAGACAGCAAGAAATGGAAGAAGAGCAAAGACGTCTCGCCGACAAGAAAGCCCGCGAGCAGCGTCTTCGAGAACAAGAAGCAGAGATAGAGCGCGAAGAACAACGCCGGCTCGCCGAGATAAAGGCTCGCGCAGAACGTCTCCGCGAGCACGAGCGAGAGCTCGCCGCCATCGAAGAACGAACGCGGGCAATCGAAGAAAAACGTCGTCTGGCCGAGCAAACTGCACGCGACGAGGACCTCCGTGAAGCAGAACGCCAGCGCGCCCGCGAAGCCGAGCGCCAAGCAAAAGCAGACTACGACCGCCTCGTCAAGGAGCAAATGGACCGTGATGCCAAAATGCAAAAGGAGAAAACAATCCAAGAAGCCGCTCTCCGCAAACAACAGGAAGACGCAGACACCCAACGTGCCCTAAGAGCCCTCGCCTCCCCTCCTTCTCCACCCGCCACACCGCCAGCTGTCCCCGGTCCAGCCCCCTCGCTCCGCCCCAAACCAACGCCCATTTCCCCCAGGAAAGAAATAAACTACTCTCTCCCTGCCGTCGGCGACCAGAAAATCGGTCGTTTCACCCTTGGCACCCGCGCAATGCCTATCCATGAATCCCAAGATCTCCCTGCTCAACCCCCAACACCAGGCAAACTGTGTCCCAGTGGGCCCTCGCCCATGGTCCGTCTAGGCAGCGCCATATCCGCCTCGGACGTCCCCCTCGTCAGAGAACTCAAAGGCCAGACAAACATCACGCCTGTACCCACTGCCTTGGCGAACACCGATGCTGGTGGTAACAGTAACCGACCAGTGGCGGGTGGTCTAAGGAAGACGCCAGGGCCCAGAAAGGCACCGCCGCCTGTGCCGGAACGCTCCGGCGTTGATCCCAAACTCGAAGCTATGCTAGCCAAGCGACGCACGTGGGAGGCCGAGGAGGCGGCAAAGGAGGCCGCGGCAGCTTCAGCGGGCACGAATAGCGAGGCTAGTATTACGCCGCCGCTTTCACCCGCGAGTACGGGAAAGAATGGTTGTGGCTTCTCCAGTGAGGCGAGGAGGTTGAGCCAGAACGAGTTTGATACCAAGAGGAAGACTGGGTGGAAGAAGGATTTTGAGTGAATGAGTGATGTGGTTGGCTTGTTTGCATTTTTGTTGTTGGAGTTTGGGTTGGAGTGGGGACAGCATCCAGTACATACGCATCTATGTATCCTTAACAAGTGGGACAAAGGTAGGCAAGCAAGTGTTGAGTCAATCTGATACGATTGATTCCTTGCTAGCTTTATCATGTAGCAATCTCATCAAAGCATATGGCTTATTTCCTCTATTCCAGCTACATTCTTTTTCCGTGTACAATATCTCCAAACTCCACTCATGGCGAAGAAGGATTTGTCTTTGTATCCTTCGAAGCAAGCTTGATCTTATTCAAAGGTGTTCTTTCATACAAACCGGAGCTCATCTTTACCTGCCAGGCTTGCAATATTGATGTTTCTAGGACGAGAGAGAGAAGCAACAAGACTCTTAACGATCAATGAGTAATCATTGTTGCCGCCAACAAAAATCACGTGTTGGGTCGCGCCTGCCGTGTGAGAGTGAGAATAAAGTCGCCCAGCCGACGCACCTTCCCTCCTGTCTTCTAAGATCAGGCAACATCTCCGACAAACCTCATCTTCTACTTTCACACCTCACTCGCCCCACACCCCATCATCCCCCAGTCACCATCATTGCCAACGCGTCAACATGCTCGCGCGACTTCGCGTCTCGTTCCTGGCCATTCTTCTGGCAGTTCTCTTGACAAGTGCGCTTGCCTCAACCCCAACATCGCCATTTCCCTGCACCGGGTAAGTTCAACATCTAGCACCTTGAATCTTTACAAGGCAGGCAAACTAACACAGAACAGTGGCTCCGTCTACTTCACCGCCCACACAGTGACGGCCTGTTGTTTCAGAACCCAGATCTCCTGCACGACCTCTTCGTCTTCAAATGCGTCACTACCGTTGTCTTCAATGCAGATACCGGTGGCGAGGCAGCTAATGAATCTCGTATGTTGCAGCTTGAGCGTGGCTGGAAGCTGCATATTGAACATGAGTGGTTTGGCTTCTTCTTTCTTCTTTCTTCTGCTGCTGCTGCCACTGCTACTGCACAACATTCAAATCGGCAATCATAGCATTGCCACCTCTCCTCTCCTAGGCCTAAAAAACGCTCAGATATTGTACCTGCGTCTCCCAGAAAGCAGCACCTTTTACGGTCAAGGCTACCAGGCGTACGGCAAAGAGACGCTGAAGAAATTGTACAGCGCGGATATCCCGGCCATCTCTTCCACAGACGGGAGGAATAGGTATACGGTTGCTGAACTCAAGGATGTCGTTGCTACCATCCTTGGGTTCAGACGTGCAAAAGATATCCGCGTGTTAGACTATGTTGATTCATTTTCGGTGACGGACACGGATGATGTGCAGCTGGAACATGCGGATCGTGTTGCGTCGGCCAAGATTGTGGTGGATGCTGTGAGGGAGAAGGGGATTCCGGGAACAGTCAAGGGGTATGTGGAACTGGATGATAATAATAATAATAATAATGGGGTACTAACGAGAGGTAGTTACGCGTGCGATGCACTACGCAATCTGAAGAACAATCTTCATACACCGGATTACATCAAGAAGTTCGCCGCATTCTTCGAGTACGCGAGACATGATCCGGATATGGTAGGTTTTCCTACACTGGACTGATTTGGTTCAGACGCTAATAGATGACAGTGCCAGAGTCTGCAAGAGTGTGGTGATAGGCTCAGGAAGATCAATGCTTACACTGATGACTATGACGAGGGTAATCACATCTACGAGTTTCTGAAGCGTGAGTACTATGCTTCACCCGCCTAATAACGAAACGAAAGAGATTATTATGTTTGCTTTTTTACACGGTCAAAAGAAGAAACGAATTCCGCTTTAATAGAGGATTATTACTAGGTTATCCAACGAACAAGTCATTACGCATTAAAACATCAAAATACCAACCAATCATGCTCATGATACCATGCTGTCATATGGGTGTCATAAAATGCTTGACACCTAATAGGCGTGTCTGGTGATTACAATGGCCTTTCCCCCCTAGGTGTGTCAAGTGCTTTGTGGCACCCGGGCTGCTGTCGTTATTTTGCATTGAACCACATCAGAACGCCCGTAACAAAGAAATTACTAAGGAAAGAGTTGAATGGTGAAGTAAAACAAGTCAACCAAAGGAGAATCAAAAGAAGAGAAATTATTATCGGAATATGCTTTGTAAGACGCGTTCCAAGTTGTCCGCCAATGGATCCACATCCCTCTCGCGTCCCCGCTCATCGAAACGAGGTGGAAGTTCAATAGTAGCATCCGACGCATCCGAGCCAGGGGACTCGTCCCGATGGTGTCTTTTTCGCTCCCTGCCAGACTCGTTTGACATGTCAGAGCGATCGTCATTACTGCGACGTCTGGATCGGCTATTCTCGTGATTGTCTCGGTCTTCATGGTCACTCTCAGGAGTAGACTCGCGTGCGGGTTCCTCTTGTGGGTTCAGATCGAACTTGACACTCTTCTCTTCCTCGGGAGCTGAGCTGGAGCCTCGGGACTTGCTGGAACTACGTGACTTCTCGACTACCGGCGGACCTGTTTATGTATCAGCAGCTAGTCTAATACCATGGGCTGGCAGCGGCCTCAACCCACCACGCGCAGTATTGTAGTGCTCTTTAGCGCCATGATCAGGGACTGGAGCACTCACATTATCATCCGGGTGTCGCGGCTGGCCATAGTAAAAGTCCTGTTGCTGTTGTGGAGGCGCATATGGGTTTCCAGGGTGCAAATCGTTGTGTGGCGGATTGACGAATTGTGAGGGATGGTTGGGCTCGTATGTGCTTTGCGGGCCCGGAGGATAGTCTGCTGGGTTATAAGGTGGGTAGGGGTTATTAGGGTTATGATCTACTGGCGCGCTGGGCGGAGGGGGAAAGTAGTTTGTCTCGGGAAAGTAGCGAGAGTCGTCGGGGTGGGCAGTGGACGACGTAGGGCTATCGTAGGGGCTGTAGGTGCTAGTGGAATAGGCTGTGTCCTCTTCGCCTATGACTGTCTGAGTATGCTAATTTCGGTACGGGCGAGGGGTGGACTCACGTCGTCGTTCGGCTTCCTTTTCGGCCTTCTTACGGTCTCTTCTTTTCGCTGCCTCATGTGCAGCTAAGCCAGCAACGCCAGCTACCGCCGCCGTTTCTGCGACAGTTCTTGCCCGGCTCTTGCTCCGGCTTCGGCTCCGACTGCCGCGTCGACCCCCCGAAGAAGAAGAAGAGCTTCGTCGTCGTCGACTACGGTGCGAACGGCTCCGATCGCGGCTTCGGCTTCGGCTCCGACTTCTAGACGGATGGTCGGTGTATATCGGATCACCGCCATACTCTACTAAGACTGGTTCACTCACTGTACTTCCACGCCTGCTACGGCTGCGCCCGGTAAGGCGGGAGATCACTGACCTCGTTCTTGAGCGCGACCTTGATTTGGACCGCGATGCCGCCCTAGCTTCCTTCTTAGCCTTGTGTTTCTCATACAGGCCAGTAACCGCTGCGCCAGTGAGACCAGCAGCAGCGATCGGTACGCCTTGTCGGGCCTTGCTGGGCGAGCGTTTGCCCTCTCGCTTTCGAGACTTGCTGCGTCGGCGTTCAACAAGACCAGCGACAGCAGCACTGGCGAGTCCAACCTGTGCTGCTCGGTCGTTGCGATGCTTGGGGTCTAGGTGCTTGCTCGTACTACGAGACCTACCCCTATCAGATCCGACAACGGACCTTGATCTCCTTCGGCTCCTTCTAGAGTGCGACTTGCTCCGGTGCCGTGACTTGCTTCGGTGATGGTGGTGGTGGTGACGATCTTCTATGATTGTGACTGTCTCTTCTTTGCCCTTTTTGTTCCTCTGACCTGCAGCGTAGGCTAGAGCTCCAACACCTGCGATGGCGGCAAGCGTACCTAGCTCCTTTACCCTCGACTTGCTGCGATGGCGGGACTTTGTGCGTCGACCGCCCCTACCCCGCTCTGAAGACATGGACCGAGACCTAGAACGGTTATTGAACCTGTCAAGAGCCACAGCGCTCACAGCACCCAGGGTCCCGTAGCCAAGGGCATTTCCGATACTGCCTCCAGCGGCTTCACCTTTCCTCTTGCGATGATGCCTAATGATCTGGCCTGCAGCAACCCCAGCAAGTGCGCCTGCAGCGACGTCACGTTTGGTGTGGGTCTCGCTTCCTCCCCATGTATCCTTTTCCTTATGGATATAGATGTCATCGTCGCTGTAGTAAGCCCTATCACCCCAGCGGTCTTCGTAACGGTCATCATAACGGCCGCGGTCGACTTCCTTGACACGGCGTTCGTAATAGTAGTCTTCCTCTTGGCGAGCGGGCCGGGCAACCTGTCTATCTTCTTCAGTACGCTCGACCAACTCATATGCGGGCTCTGTAATGCGCTCGCGGATAATGATAGGTTGAGGGGCCTCCTCCCGGATGATGATAGGCTGCATCTGCATCTGCATGGGCTGAGGGGCTTCATTGCGAATGTAGATGGACTGGGGAGGGGCTTGGGGCTGAGGCTGGGGTTCGGGGCGGAAGTACTCAGTGGATCTAGAGTACTTTTCAAGTTCGTAAGGTTGGTGCTCCCTCGGAAAGATTTCGTGGTCGCGCTCGTAGTCTCGCGAGATGCGAATCTCGGTGCGTGCCGGTGATGGCTCACGCTCGTACTCGCGCTCGTATTCACGCTGGATGCGATACTCGGAGCGTACCGGCGATGGTTCGCGCTCGGCGTAACGGTAGTGCCTCACTTCACGCACAGGCTGTGTGTCTCGCTCGACGGCGTACTCCTTGACTGAGCGGCGCTCGTCAAAGTCGTCACGGCCGCGGTGGACGAGGCGCATCTCGGATTCGTACGTGTCTTCCTCGAGACTGTGATCGGGGACTTTGTAGCGCCTGACGGTGGTATAGCCAGCGCCTGAGCCTCCTCCTGCGCGCGACGACGTCGTCTCCCACTCGCGATCGCGCTCACTTCTCTTGTAGATGACCGACATGGTGGCGTGTTGGTATGGTGCAAGTCCAAGCAGTAGGGTGATATGATGCCTGGAAGCGGGTGCTCTGCAATATAGATATGGAGATGTCGAGTACTCGCCTACTCCACCAGTCGCTTTGATGTCGATGTCGATGTCGATGGACAATGCTCACAATCTATGGGAAAGCGGGCTGCGGCTACGACAAGCAGCGAGAGGTGGGGTAATAAGAGAGTACAGTAGACTGAAGAAGGGTAGACGACGTTAAGTGTCAGGAATAGCGCACGCGGCTGTCCAGGCAGGTTCTCGACTGACGGTGACGTCACTCAACGGATTGGGTGCCGAGCAAGGCGGGCAAAAAAAAAAACACCAGACTGTGTGCCCTTGGCTGTATCTTGTGAGTGGCGGTACCTAGTAGGGCAGATATAGTCGGCGTTTGCCTGACGTCTTGCCCGTAGACGCTTCTCTCACTGTGCGCCGTCGCAGCCCTACACGTTGAGTAGAGCGGGAGGGCGCGCACATCACACAAGGCACATCATGCGAACTACTGCCTGCAAGCTGTCACATTCGCTAGAAACTTCTTTTTGTGGACTCACCGGACATGGCGCCATCGCTTGCACGCATAGCCCCGCATGTGACGGTGCTCATGCTGCTCAGCGCCTGACACACGACTCATGCCCACCGAACATGCCACCGACTGCGCCTTGGGGGCTCACAATGTCCTGATGCCTGTGACTCGACCCAAAGTGAAGCAACCCAACATCGCCCAGGTCCACCCTGCCGTCGTTTATCCTACCATGCACCCTGCCCAGTTCTTCGATCGGAGCAAACAGCCAGAACACGCCCAGAATCGAGCCTTTTACAGGAAACACCACCCGGAAGAGTCTCGGGAAGACTGACTCCAGAACCCACTCTCTACCTACTTGGAGCCGGTTGAGGGTAAGACGGAGAGCCTCACAATATATCGACATGGCTCTTTCCGATTCTCTTAGGTAACTAGACCGTGCCTTCAGTGCTACTATACCCGAAGCACTACCTAGACAGACCTGGGCATGAGGTAGCAAACACTCTTCGTTCCCAACCAAACCATCACTCCGTGGAACGCCCGATATTTACCGGTGAATGCCTGTCGATTTCTCTCCATCAAACACTTCCACACGGTACATGTTCCGAAAATCAGCCATGCGACAGGCGGCATTTCTGCATGCACAGCTCAGCTCCCGTCCAACGTCAGATACTGACCGGTATACGACGAGCAAACGCTTCATTATTGTTGCTCACAGCTAGATGGGAATCATTTAATTACACTAGAAAGTGATGTTACAAACAACAGCAGGAATTACAATCTTGGTCCAAGGCCTAGTCCGTCCACGACACCAGAAACCATGCGCAGTGAACAACTCAACAAGAAAAAAAACGTCACGTGTACATTGTTGTTTATTTCCAACACCTGGCAACTCCACGCTTGATCGTCTAGCTGCACAATTAGACGATGCCATAGACGCGCTTGGCAATAAAGTAGCATGCCAGACCAAAGGTAATGAGGCCTCCAGTAATGCACCAGAACCAGTTGAGGTTCTCGATATCCTGACCGGGAACGAGACTAGCTTGGTCAGCACAACATCATACAAAGTGCCAACATTTGACTCACCAGTTCATACCCCAGATACCAGTCACAACATTCATCGGTAGGACGATGGTGCCAAGCACGGTAAGCTTACCCAGGATGTCAGACGTCTTCTCTTGACGTTCATTCATCCGAATGTTAATCTGGGCGAGGTAGTTGCTGTGAGCACGCGAAAGGAGACTGAATTCCCAATTAGTCTGTACCTCAACACTTGCAGCTCAAAACTTACTTCTCGTAGTGACTCAAGTTACCCGTCATGGTAACAATATGATCCTGGATATCCCCAAGATACATGCCAATCTCGTTGCGAGGAGCGATATCCCATTGCTCGTTACACCTCTTCGCGAAACCCTTGATGACGTCGGCCTTGTTGCCCAACAAGCGGTAGAGACTCATAACCTTCTTCCTGCACTCGCCAACCCGGCGCAACATGTCTCGTCCACTTTCCTGCTGCGACTTGATCTCAGGTGGCTCCTTGTAATGCGGGTTGTTGTAGCTGTAGGATTTTTCCTTCTCTGCCTCTTGCTCCTCTTCGCTAGAGTGAAGACGTAATATCGCCTCGTCGATGTCGTCAACTTCTTCTTCAATCTTCTGGATCATGGGCGCGTATGCATCCGTGATATCGTCGATGATGGCATATGAGATCCAATCAGGTGATAGCACAAGATAATCCGAAAGTTGACGAATACGACGACGGACATTGGCAGGGTGGGGTGTCATGGAAAAGTGAAAGCTTATGACGCCTTCTCTGAACACGACCACGTAGAGGTTGACGGGCTCTAGATAGTCTTCGCTATTTTCGTCTTGCTCGAAAGTCCGGTAGTTGATGAAGTAGTAGTGCTTGAAAAGCTCTACCTTTTCACGCTGCTCTTGCATCAAGATATCCTCCGATGTCAGCGGGTGGATGCCAAACGTCTTAGAAATGACCTTCATTTCCGTCTCCGTTGGCGACATGACATCCAGCCACCAGGCGGGTCGAGGGCCATAACGCTTCGGCTTCTCTTCACTAGGCTTGGATGGAACAGGGCGTGGTGTTGTGGACCGAGTCTGTTCACCCGAAGAGTTTTTGCTCTCGCCCTTTGAAGTTGATCGTGTTGTTGCCCGTGAAGTGTGTCCGTTGGCACCAGAGTGTAGCATATCGTCCTCGGCATCGGACTCGGAATCGCTGTCATCGTCCAAAACTGGGGGATCAGGGACGAACAGGTTCCTGAAGTTCTGCCCAGGTTGGAGGAGCTCGCTGATACTCTGGCTATGAATCGTGTTGTCAAAAGTTTCGTTAAAGTAGGTGAACCGGTAGGGAGCGTCGCTCGCCTCGCGGTGCCAGACACGCCGTTTCGGACGCAGTCGGCCTTCTACCATCAATGGTTCGCTGACCTTGCGCATGCGCATACCCTCGATGGTCCGCTGTTCCTTCTCCTCATGCGCCCAAGCCTGCAATACATCGAGATCAGGCCAGCGACGGCGTCTCCGACGGCTCGTGGGCTCGCCAGTCGTTGGGGTGTTCATGTAATCCTCGTGACCCATTTCAGACATGGCCTCGTGTGGGAAACAGACATCTTCAAGTGCGGTGGTAGTCATGCGCCGTCTGAATCCGCCAGGGGTTGGTGGCGAGCCAGCGTGAACGTCCCCGTCAATATCGATCAATGCATCGTGAGACGAGCTATGGGGCCTCTCGGTATCAGACAAATGATCTAGGTCGGTTGGAAGCATGACATCGTCCAGGCCGGCGCTGGCCTCAAAGGTCGGACTGGTCGGAACCGATGGGGGGTTGTTGACATCATAGTCGTTGAGGTTAGTCGCAGAGTGATGGTGTTGGGTAAACATGTCGGGCCTATGTTCAGGCATGGTCATGCGCTTGGGACTCGGTAGAGACGTCTTGCTCGCTCTTCGTGCCCTGCTACTGGACCCATAGCTTGTCCCTACCCTGATGTCGCGTACTGACGACGTCATGAGGGGTGTTCTGTCGTCCATGTAATCATCGCCATCACTCTGTTCAGCCTGCTCGGGCGTGTGCGAAAGCCGCGACCGACCAAAGGTAGCATTTGGCGATCTGGGTTGGAAGCGCGGAGGAGGGTTGGCATTGGACTGGCTTACTCGTGGCTGGTACATGGACCCTGCGGGCACGCTGGGCCGACGCGTCCGGATCGTGGGTTGCTCGCGGTGGTCCAGCAAGGCCTCGCTCTCGAGGCTCGTGTTGCTGAGGTTGCTGTGCGTGCGGTAGAAGCCGTTGCTTCCTCGCGACTGGCCATGGCTGGCGACATTGGCCAGAGATGGACGTTCATCCATAGAATCGCCCTGTGCCAGTTCTGTTCCTGCTGCGAATGACTGGCGACGGTTGCGCCTCTTCTTGCCGCCTCTGTGCGTCTTCTTCTTCTTTGGCGGCGCAGAAGACGGCCCAGCGTCCTGCCCCGAAGCTGCAGCTGCCGCGTACGAAGGGCCGCCAGAGGTCGCACCATTGCCAGGCCCAGATGCAGCCCCAACAGAGCCAGACGGATTCGACGCCATTACAGATACACGCGTATCAAGATAAGAATGGGGCGACGAATGCTACAAGACAAGGGTTCGCTGCAGCGGTGAGCCACTGGAATCGAGACACGCAGGTCTGAGGACAAAACGGCGCGTAACAAGTGCAGTGGGCGTGGGTGTGTGTGTGTGTGTCAAGTCGAGAGTTGCTGCGATGCGCATCTTGAATCTACCAGTGACGTTGTTCGAGGCCTGTGCGCTAGTCGGTGGGTTTAGCCTCAGTCTAGCCTTGATAACTCTGCAGTTCGCATGTGTGAAGCTTGGAACGCGGGACATGTAGGCCATTAGTGGGCCTGGCTACAGTAATGGTACTCAAAAATCAACATTTCAGACTCGATACTTTGATTTGATTAACATTCTTGCCATTTGCCCGTGAATCATTGTAGATTGTATTTTCGAAACTCTCCTTGCAGTCGGCCGTGTCGCACGTGCGCTCGCGTGCTCTGTTTCCTGTTTCGGACAAGTCGGGACAAAAGCCGTCCCGCATGCGCACCATGCCTTTTGCAATGACGCCCTGATTCGACGCGGGAATACGCTTATCAACGCTACCAGGACAAATTCCTGCCTCACTAGTCCCCATTGGATTGACAAGACTAATGGCATGTCTAGATGCAGCCACTCGGAAGGAGACGTCCATGTACGCTCATGACATGTGGGAAACCTGCATGTAACAACTGCACTACTACTACCCCGCCTCACCTGAGGTCCTCACCGCTTCAGATAATGTCCACCTTACTATACTATACAACAGACCAATAACAACTTCTCTTGTCATTGGTAGCTACAAAACATACCGGAACATCGGGCCATAGTTCTCCAATGTAATGTCCTGCACATGTTCCCCTCGCTCTATCGCTTCCTGTCTCGCCAACTTCTGTTCCACTACCGTCCCATGTTTCTTGTCAAGCTTCTTGTTTTCCCACACAAGCACAGTCCTAAGCAGAAGAGATAGGATGCAAAACAGGAACATGAATCCTGCACACACTGACTGTCCTTTTACATAAAGAGGCTTCTCTGATTTCGGATACAAGCGAGTACCCAGCAGTGGACCGCATTGCCCGACGAGATTCAGAATGATAATGCCAGTACCTCGTCTTGTGTCGGATCCTTGATTGTTGGTGACCCAAGGCAGGACATTGCCAATAGCTGGGAAGATACCGGCTGCTGCAAGGAACACGCCGAAATATCTTGCTCCCACTGTCTTGGTTGTAGCCAAAATCACATATCCAGCACCACCAATCGCGGTAAGTATAGCAATTACGATGCCTCGCTGTTGCGTTCGGTCAGCGATATAGCACGTCGCGATGACCATGAGGAACGAAAGGAAGAAGGGCGGTGCCGTCAACCCCTGAGCGTTGACTTTCGAAAATCCCATCTCAGCCAGAATAGTTGGCAGGAAAACGGGTAGCGAGGAGAATGCTACATTGCCGGAGAAGTACATGATCTGTGCAACTGTTAGTCGAGCACTTTGCGTCGAAACATTAACTTACTCCCAAGATCCATCCTTTAAGATCCAAAAGCCCTTCAAACATCTCCTTGAAATTGATACTTCCAATTCTCGTTGCAGCACCGGCTTGTGCCACGCCACGAGCCCTCGCAACAGCCTTCTCCTCTTCCGTCAAAAACTTTGCCTTCTCGGGACTGTCCGGCAGAAAGAACCACGCCATCGCAGCCATGACGATTGTTGGCAAGCCTTCCACCAAGAACAAGACTCTCCATTGCGCCATTCCGGGATCGCCACTCGTAATACCGTATGCCAACGCTCCAGCAAACGTGTTCGCCAGCGGTGCAGCCGACAAAAACAATCCGCATCGTAAGCCTAGCTCGTGCCTCAGATAGAAGAAGGAGAGTAGGTAGGGTACTCCAGGTCCGTATGCAATTTCCGCAACTCCCATCAGAAAGCGGAGCGCCATCATGCCCTCCCAGTTATGCGTTGCAGCCTGTGCAGTCGAGACGATGCCCCAAGCGAGGACGCAAGCTGGACCATGTCAGCTATGTAATAATCAAACGCTTACAACGAGACTTACTGGACGCCCAGATGTGAGGAGGAACCACCTTCCACATGATAGTCAGGAACCCAAAGACAATGTACGAGATGTAAAATATAGTAAGAAGCCACTGGTACTGCGAGCTGCTGAGCTTGAGGTCCGTGTCCAAACCAGCAATACGGGCATTTCTATCGTTTTATCGTTAGCAATTCATCCATCTATTTATCACGAAACCAATACTTTGGTTGTGATAAGCACCGAATTCGAGACTCAGTTGAAGCAAAGGCTTCCACTCAACACGTGACGTCCCCGAACCAGATAGGAAAGCAAGCTCGACATACCCGATATTCGATCTATCCAGAAACGCCAACAAATACAGCGTCGCCAGCAGCGGCACCATATGCTTGTCGAACTTGCGTACCACCCTCTTCTCAACTACGGGGTCGATATCCGCCATCCTCACTGCACCATGACTACTACCAACCGGCGAGTCAGCTTCTACATCGCCTTTTTCCCGTGCCACAACGTCCGTATTTGCCTCCTCTTTTCCCTCATGTACCACCGCCGCTGCTGCTGTGGTATCCCGTCTGGGCGCGGAAAAAAGCAAACGCATCTTGGACAGTCAAAAACGCGAGAAAAACGTTGGGGAGACGCAAGACTAGGGAGATGGGGGAACAAGGCAAAGTATAAGCATTTTATCCAAGCCTCCCGTTTGCTTTGGCCCTAAAGGCTTGACTAAAGAAATGCCGGGTCCGATCGGCGCTTATGCGCTCATTGATGTGAGATGTGCGGTTCGAGCTACCCAGTTGGGGTAAACCACCACTTGAAGTTCGCCCTCACCTCCTCACCAGAATGCATGCGCCTTGGTATACACAGAGTAATGACAAGACACTAGTTGGAGATTTCAATGGGCCATTTATCCAACTATACTTGGGAAATGATCATCTGGCTAGGATGATACTAGTACTGTAACTGTATGACATGATGAGGGCGTGCGGCCTTGACGATGTGGGGTGTGGGTAGGTGGGGAGATCGTCATTGGGGGGCTCCCCCGGGCGGCGACATGATTTTCGAAGGGTAACATCCGGCCGCCGTGCGAGACCGGAATATGACCGAAGAAGTATGACAAAGCTCGGACTGCTAGCAAAAGTATATAAAAGAAGAAGAAGAGGACAATATCGTTCTTGATAGGTTTGTCTGTTTCTTTCGTTGTAACGTTGTCTAGGTCTGAAAGTCAAAACGAGCGCGAATTGTCAGCAACACTGACGGCGCCAACTCGCGTCATGTCAAGTTCCTTCTGTCATACATTCTCTACTATGCATCGCGAGTCTCCCAATCGGCCAAATAAAATCTTATATCCGGATACCCCATCCCATAACGCCATCCCGTAACTCGTCAGCAAATTTCTAACCAATGTGTCCCTTCTTCCATTCTTTACTCATTAGACCGAGATATGCTGCATAGTCTGGCCCTGCCCAACCTGCGGTCCCAACCTTGGCAGCGGCTTTAACCTGTGCTGCTGCACTGGTGTCTTACTCGTCCCCGGCAGTGTATTCGTGCCCGGGTAGGGTTTCTTTGGATCCAGCTTCTTCGATTCAACAGGCGGCTTGAACGGCTTGGGCTGACCGGGCTTAACAGGCGTCTTCTTTTCTGAAGGGTATGCCGGCTTCGGGGTTCCGTTGGTTCCAGGCAAGGGCTTTAGTAAAGAGGTTTTGGATGGTCCTGCCGGTACAGAATTGGGACCCTTGAATGGCGGAATTGATCTGGTTGCTCCGCCAAGGGCTTTCTGACTGCCTCCTACGAGACCGCCGGCCGCTTTCGACGCGTTGCTGCTTACGCCGCCAATTGTACTGTTTGCGCGGCCTACGACCCCACCGGTCACTTTGGATGCGTTGCCTGTTACGCCTCCGAGAGCCTTTTGACCTCCTCCCACAACGCCTCCCATGACTTTCGATGCACCGCCAACCGTGTTCTTTGCTCCTCCGACTGCTCCGTTTACTTGGCTACCTCCAGGGTACTTCTTTGCGCCTATTGGTATCCCACTACCACCCTTGGCGCCGCTCGTTGTTGGTTTACTATTCGCAGGCGTCGAGTTGGAGCGCTTGATGACTGGTTTACGCGCCGTCGAGGGTAAGGCTGTGGCCGAGGGCTTGTAGGTTTGGCCTGTGATGGCTGTGCCATAGCTTGTTGCTTTGCGCTCGATGCCTGGACAGACATTCAGTCAATCCCTTGATCACGATGGCATTGTGAATCGAGACGAGCGCTTACCAGTTCCTACACTCCTTCCACCATTCTCAATCATATCTCCCGCTTTGATCAATGCGTTGCCACCATATTCTCCTGCCGTCTTTTTCCCTGCCTCCACAAAGCCTTCAACAGAGTTCCAAATGATGTTTTGAATAAAGCTTGCCATATTGTACGTATATTATGTGGAACTATAATCGAGATGCAGGTTGGGGTTTTCGAGGAGTTGGTTCAGGGAAGATCTATAGTACGAGATTCAACGTCGAGATTCCAGACTCGATTGGACCATACCTGGTCGATGATGATGGCCTTTTGGCGCCACTGCAGCTACAACCTGTTTCGACTATGCAGGGGATGCGCCACCCCGCGTTGGAATGACGTAAATGGTGACACGCCACGTTGGGGCCGACCATAAATGCTGGCTGCCGATCTCTAGTGCAGGTTTTGGCTTGCGCAATACCTTCATGTGCCAGTATGTCACTGGCCTTTGGGTTTGTTGAGCTGTGACAGGCAAGAACCAAACGGCAAAGTGGCTGGGCCGAAAAATTGACAACAATCGATTCCACTATTCTTACAGAATGCGCTACCATAAAGGGAATATTTTCCATACGCCGTATGCAATCGAAGAAGAAAGAAAAAGCAAAGGAACGCTCGTAACGGCTCATTACACCCAACAATAATTCCCAAAGTTAAGCACCTTGCCTAGCTTTCTCAGCGCAGATCAATGCGATGATTCGACTCAACTCTGCGCTCTGTGCAAACTGCTCCTGCTTTGTCTTTTCGTCTACATCCTCGCAAGCTGCAATGTCGTTGCTGACAGTCAACATACGGTTCTGCAGCGTGAGCAGCTTGGCAAGCGTATTGTCGAGGAAGGGTGCGCTGAATGTGATGTTTGTGGGTGATGCACCGTTGTTGGGAATGCGCATTTCGAGCTTCCGTGGAGGTTTCTTGCTAGGGGTTGATTGAGTCTGGGAAGGGGCATGTTGTTGCTGTGGTTGAGGCCTGAAGGATGTCAGTGAACGCCTGATGGTAGGGGTTCAGCGTCAGATGGCTCACTTCTCACGCTCGACAAAAGTCATGTTCTCAGCCATCTCAGCGACGCGGTTTGCGATTCTCGAGGCCATGATGGTGTAGGGTGACATCTGGGGCTGCGATGCGCCGTTGGTCGCTCCATTTGTCTGGGGGTTCTTCGCCGCAGTGGGCTTCTTCGCCGCGTTCCTCGAGGCTGTGGTCTTGTTGGCCGTGCGCTTGACTGGCGCAGATGCTACTGAAGCCGCGGGCATTATGGGGAGGGAATGTGTATAAGGTTTGAGATCAAGTCTGGTAAACTTTTATCAGTTCTGAGTTCCGCGGTATGTGCAATGATTCAATCGACACGTATCGAGCCCATGAAACGACTGCGCAAGGACAGGGTAGCTGACGAATCGTGACCTACGTAGTATTTGAATGTGTGGATGAATAAAGTTGGAGAAACAACGTAGGCAAGGAGTTCAAAAGTCGGGCTATCAACTGTAGAAATGCTTATAGATGGTGTTACTCAACGGTTAATGACCTAACGAAGGGGTAACGCGTGCTTCAATATCTTGCTTGGTTGACTTTGTTGCACGACGCCACACGGCGACGTCATGCCACGGCTCACCGACCGGGGTCGACAAGGCACAAGTGGAGCATCCATCTTGATCTCGAACCGTTAGCTTGCACTGACGTCGCGGGTAACCCGTTACTGGTGCTGCCCGTAGTCATGTCTAATGTTTGAACTTTGATGTTTGTCCGTTTGTATACTTTGTGAAAGATGCCACCAGCAACGAAGAAGCCCGTCGTTGCTAAGCCAGTGGCTGCCAAAACGGGGGCTAAGAAGCCGCTTGCTGTCAACCAATCAGCGACCAAGTCGCCAGTACCGGCGGCTGTCCAGAGGAAGAAGAAGGTAGACCTTGGTGCTGGTTTGCGGGTCACAAAAGACCCAAAAGACAATGCCGACGCGCATCCGGCTGGGCCACCGCGGTTTGGTGAGTTGACGCAGGCAGAACGAGCCTTCACACTAGCCTCGACCTTCCTGTCTGGAGTCCTAGCGTAAGTACACATGTTGTAACATTGGAATGCTCGAGCAAGAATCAACTAATGAACCGCAGCATAAGCGCATCTCAGTTCCTGGGTGCTCCATTGAAGCTCATCGACCCTCAATTCTACGATGCTTACATGGCGTATACCAAAGAATGTTTCGCCATCCTAATCACCTGTCTGACCCAATGGTGGGCCCCAACCGTCGTTCGTGTCTCGGGCGACTCCAGCATGGTTGGTCAGCTCATCAAACGAAAGGATGGATCTCTGCGATGCAACTTCTCGGACCGCATGGTTCTCATGGCAAACCACCAACTCTATACTGATTGGCTGTACCTCTGGTGGATTGCCTACACAAACAACATGCATGGCTTCATCTATATCATCCTAAAGGAGTCATTGAAAAATATACCCATCATCGGGTGGGGTGCACAGTTCTATAACTTCATCTTCTTGTCAAGAAAATGGGAGGAGGACCAGAGGACATTCAAGAAGCATTTGAGCAAGTTGAACAAGAAAGGTGACCCCATGTGGCTCATCATCTTTCCAGAAGGGACCAATCTCTCGCCGACTACGCGTGAAAGGAGTAAGCAATGGGCAGATAAGAATGGACTTCAGGATATGAAGCACCAGTTGCTTCCTCGTAGCACCGGTCTGCGCTTCTGTCTGAACGAGCTCAAGGAGACCACAGATTGGCTTTATGACTGTACTATTGCCTACGAAGGTATTCCACCCGGCCAATTTGGCCAGGACATCTTCACCCTCCGCTCCTCCTTCTTTGAAGGCCGACCTCCCAAATCCGTCAACATGCACTGGCGGCGTTTCCGCATTTCGGACATTCCTTACGAAAACACTCATGCGTTCGAAGTCTGGCTAAGGAACCGATGGAGGGAGAAGGACTACATGCTTGAGTATTTCAGTAGGCACACGCGGTTCCCCGCCGAAGACTTTTGGAAAAATCATCTCGACATGGACACCAAAAGCGAGAGCAGCAGAGGAGGACCGAACGGCAGCCGCACCATCCGAACCGTTGCCCGACCAGCCGTGCAGATTGAGACGGAGGTGAAGAGCGGAAACTGGAATGAATTTGTCAAAATCTTTGCTCCCATAACCTCCGTCATGATGGCCTTGACGGTAGCCTACGGCGCCTCTCCTGAAGACCTACCCATACCCGGCGGCAAAGAATTCTTCGAACAGCATCTCAAAACGCTACTTGGACAAGGCGGAGGCGAAGTAAAAGGCCTCCCCAGTCCCGACCAGCTCGAGAGAATGATCGAAGGCGCCGCTAAAATGGGCGCCGCACAAGCTGCTGAAGGCCAAAAACAAATTCCAGAAGCTCAACGACTGACGCAAGAGAACCTAGCAAAGCTTGTCAAGGAAACAGCTATTTCGAGCGGAGCAGTCATGCCAAACGGAATGCGAAGAGCAAGCACAGCGCTACCGCCACCCCCCCTAACACAAACGATGCAAACGCCCACTACCGCAGCCGCAGCGAGAAGACCACAGAGCACAGGCAATATGCCTAAAATGAAAGTAAGCCCAAGTCCAGGCACTAAGAAAGCCCCAGCAGTCCGCGTCCCACCTCCCAAACCCAAACCTCCAACGATCAACGGCCCAATGAAGGAAGTAACAACAGCATCGGGCGTAACAATCAAAGTGCCCGCCTCGCAAGTCCAAGCAGCAGCAAAAACCAACGGTGTGCTTACCATGGCCAATGGGGTGAAGATTAAAATTGATAGCAAGGATGTGGAAGAGAAAAAGGACAAGGGAGGTGGCATGGTTATGACGGCGGGTGGGGTGCCGATTAGAGTTACAAAAAGTGGGGGTGTAGAGGTTGGTAAGGCGACTGTGAATGGTGCTGGAGCAGTGAAGAAGACTGCGGATGCGAGTAAGAAGAAGGGAAGTGGGCCGCGGAAACTCTGATAGGGAGTAGCGAGTGGGATAGGTATTAGAGGGCGTTCTTTGTGGTGACGGTTTATTTTTCTTGGGAATTGGGATGGGTAATGGTTATAGGATGCGTAGTGGAGATATTTGGCGTTGTGAACCTTTTGCCTAGTCCTCACTTGTTGACCTTGTCGTTGATGTAGGATTATGGCCATATATATATATACTATGAACAGCAATCCAAATACCGCATCTACCCAGACACCTCCACCTTGTTTCGTTCCATTTCCCAATCAACCCAGTCTGACTACCAACCCAAGCCCTATACCCCTAATCCTCCATCCGCTGTCCTCAACCTTTAATGAGAATACCAAGTCGTCTTCTCAACATGCATACTCCTCCACTCCCAGCGTTGAAGTAAGCGACCATCATTTACCCTCTCACCACTGTAAATGTAGAAAAGCTTCTGGTTAACAAACAGGAACATTCCCAATCTCAAATGTAGCAGAAACATGCGGAAGATGGAACGTTGAGAGACACAGCCGAACGGCTAGTGTAGAGCAAAGAAAGAAGAGCAAAATCGACCCAACAACAGTATTAGACAAAAATCCACAACAATCTCTCACCTAATCTTCCCCTTCTTCGCAGCAGCCTCATCCTGCTGCGCCTTATGCATCTTCGCTCTCGCACTCTTACTACCGCCCAACTTGGGTCCTGCCATGACCGGCGGCGCGCCTTTAACGGGAGCAGCAGGTGGTTTACGCATTTGGTGTTTTGCTTCCATGGATTCAAAATACTCGGTTCGGAATCGTTCGACTAGGGCGTCTTCGTTTGTGGGGTTGTGCATGCTGTTTGAGGATGGGTTGGTGGTGGGGAGGGTGGAAGGAGTAGTCGTGTCAAAGTAGGATACTGGTTCGGGGGTGTTAGGTAGGCGCATTGAGAGGTTGCAGGGCAACTAGACAAAGGGAGGTGGGATATAACATACGTTTTGCTTCTGACAATACGGCTTCGACCATTTTATCACGGCGTACATCTTCATCCGTCTTGCCATTACGCCTGGGTTTACGCCACGCATACCCGTACTTGTTTTTCCATGGCTTTGTTGATGTTGGCGTCTCGGCAGATTCCCCGCTATGAAGTCGTTTCCACGCTTCTTCCGAGCGAGCTGCTGCCTGTGGGCCCAGGTCGACTTCCTGGAGTTTGCCCTGTCCGGCTGCTAACCGATTACTGTGTTCCGTGTCTACTGGGGCGTCTGCAGTCACTAGGCCCTTTTTCAGGGCTGTGTCGGCAAAGCTGGGTTTTAGGTCCGGCGCAATGGCTGCTACGGTAGCCTGAAGGTGTTTTGGTATGGGCCAGCCGTACTGGCGATAATTCTTTTCAGCCATGCGGGCTTCTACATATTCCGACCTAGCAGATTAGCTTCTGCTGCTTGGACATTGACTGACGTGGTGTTCTTGCTCGCGCGACTTCTTACATCTGCTTGTCATGCTGATCTACTACCTGGCCTGTTTGCGCGACAAAGCGGCTGGTGTACTGGTCTGGTCGCGGCACATGGTCCTGACCGACTAGCTCGCTACTGGGCTCCTCTGTTGTGCGCTTCGCCTCTCTCAAGCGGTCGCGTGGGCGCCTCCGGTTGCGCAATATCTCTTTCAAATTGAGAACAGACTCCTCCTCTTCCTCGTCCCCGTCCTTGGCCTGGGCTGGTGGTGACTGCGCTTCGTTCCGAGTCGCGGCATCGGGTGATTGCAAAATCGAGACAGTGGGCGCATCGTCTTCGGTGACTGCGCGCTTTGGGTGCGCAATCTTACGGCGCTTGAACCGTATCGCCGGTGCTGAGCTATCTTCTGGTACCGTCGCCATAGCTGGTTGGTAGTGCGAGATAGGAAGTGAAGCGTCGGGTTTGGGAAGTTCAAATAGTACCGAGGTTCCGAACGACAAAAGGTCCACTGCGTCATAGCTAAGGGTAACCATTCCGCCCTTCACCAGATTTACCGCAACAAATTAAAGAGTCAAGTGCAAGATAATTGAAAACAGTGCCGATACCAGTGCTCGGCTTGGATGGAATAGAGTCATTTCATCAGTTTCGGGGCACCTGCATGGCGTGACAATCAGCTCATCTAGTGAATCGGCTTCTGCAGCTTCTTAGTCAATCCCGGCACACTGAACGCAGCCTCTCGTTTCGACTTTTTTTTTCATTGCGACATTTAGGTATTCCTCCTTAGCCTACTAATACAGGTAGCCGGCTGCCATAACGCTGCAACGCCCAAGTCCTTCCTTTCACTGCCCTGGTATCAATTTGGTGTTGCCATCAATCTCCGCTAGGCCGTAGCAGAAGATACAGTCTCAATTTCTACCTTTGGCAGCGGCGCAGACTTGCCGCCGAGGTCTGTTTGCCGTGCGTTGGGGTTCTTGGTGTAGTAGTTGGAAATGGCGGATTTGATGGCGTCTTCAGCAAGCATGGAGCAGTGTACTATGTACAGTCAGTAAGTCTGCCAATCGTCTCTCGTCAGAAGACTTACGCTTCACAGGTGGTAGGCAAAGCTCCTTTGCAATCTCCGTGTTCTTGATCCTCGCCGCGTCCTCCAACGTCATACCACGGACCAGCTCGGTCAGATAACTTGAACTGGCAATGGCACTGCCGCAACCGAAAGTCTTGAACTTGACGTCGCTGATGGTGTTGTTGTTGGGGTCAACGCGGATCTGAAGCTTCATGACGTCGCCACATGCGGGTGCGCCAACAAGTCCTGTGCCAACATCCGTGTCCGACTTGGACATGGAGCCAACATTTCGTGGCTTGTTGTAGTGGTCGAGCAGTGCTATGCATGTTAGCTGCGCGTCCTCAAACAAGCAAGTCTTGTCCCATGGGCTACTCGATATCGCCACCATGTCCATGTTTTCGACCAAGATGAAGGTTACTTATCTTTCTCATGGTAGTGCCTCCTTCCAACGGCTGCCATGGCAGGTGCGGCTGTGCGAATAGGTGATGCAATGCTGGGCCTGGCGGCCGTTGCGACAAGTCTTCCGGCCTGGGCGGGCACTGCTGCTGCGACTCTCCTGAACATGGTGGTGATGGTTGTGTGTAGTGTTTTTTGAGAATCCGCGCTATCAAATTTGATGGGTGACAGTGGCTGTAAAAGTGGGTTAATGTTGGTGTAGGTGTCGTGGTAGGCGGAGGCGATGGATGGCGACGGGCATTTGAAGTAATGCAAAAGCGTACTTTGGCGACGTAAGTCCGTGCGCAACCCCACACTTATCACATGGAACCGCTGCATCTGGACCGGAGAACATGACTTCACCCGTCCATCCATCACATGGAATCTTCTACTTCTACTTTTATCGAATCGCCGCCTTGGCCATGTTTACTATTCGTAGCAGCTCGCGCCACTCTATTCCATACCACTCTCTTTTCGCCGTACCATGATGCTAATGCTGACCCGAGACAACTCCGCGCCCACCATGCTAGCTCGTCACATGCGACCTAGACCATCTGCCTTACAAACGTCTGAAAAAATATACATAGGCAAACTTCTTCATTTCCTCCACGTCCGCAGCCTTGGCAACCTTCTCGTCATTGAAGAGAACCCATGACGCACCTGTCTCATCTGGCAGCTGTTTGCGCACAAACGCAACGTAGTGTCTACCATTAGTTAGCAAACCGTTACATGTATTGGGAGAACAGCCATCTAGACTTACCCAGCATGGATAGAACTGCCCTTGTGGCACACAATTGACTGTAGTTGAAACTTGGCCGGCAATTGATCACTACCAGCCAACACTTTTTCAGTCTGTTCCGTAGCAGCCTCCGCGTCTCCGCCTTCATCGAAGTCGCCAGGTGCATCCGGGTGGCTGAATAGCCAGTCAACAGCGCGCTCCATATCGCCACCAGTCTCCTTCAGAGCCTGTCGTGCCTGAGGAGCATTGAATCCCATGGCACCCAGATTGTCAATCTTCTCGGGGTCGATAACCGAGGTAGCGGCCGTAGCAGACCCGGAGCTAGCGTTGAAATCGACAGGTTCATCGATATCCGCGTCCTCCATATGTGAGAACAACCACATTGATGCTGCTTCGGCATCTTCATTGCCAGTCGCATGTAGAGCCTTTTCACACCTGACTCTTGGGAATCCCATGGCCTCGAGCATTGACAGCGCCGCCTCATTGGGAGTCCATTTGTTCGAAGAACCTCCAACTGCCCCCGTGTCCATCTCATCCGGAAGTAGCTCCTCGCCTTCGCTCAAGCCTTTTGACTTGTAGGCGTCGAACGAGAATGGCTCGTCATCAACTATAACAGGTACATCCTGCTTTGTGGGTACCCAATTGACCAGTTCGAATCGTCTGGCATTGATAGCCAAGACTGACGGGAATGTCTTGAACATGCTCCTCTTTGTGAAGCCATCTTTGCTGCCACAAGCGCTGCAGGTGAGTTCAACCAACTCCTCAGCTGTGAAAATATCCAAGCATTCCTTGAGCGAGACAGGCTCAAACTCTTCCTTCTCTTCCTTCTTGCCATTGCCATCAGTGACGTCCATCTGAGACTCTTTTGGTATTCTTCGAATGGGAACAGGAATGGAAATATTCTCCTGTTCGTCCGTTCTATATCGAACGCGCTTGCAGCCGACACATTGTAACCGCTGCTCCATAGCAAAGCAAAAAGCCTCGACGGGATCTTTATGAGGTGCGACGTGCTGGGAGCGTGAGATGAGCTTGAGCACGTGTAGGAGTAGTTCGAATGCATCTTGTTGTCGCATTGTAGAAAATTCAGGGTGGCCTCGTCCGATGAGGTGCTTCAACATGGCAGGCGCAAGTCCGCGCTGGTGTGGGATCTCTGGGCTGTACTCGTTTGTGATGACATCCGTGTCCGGCTTGGAATATCGACCTGAGATGATACCGTCGGCAATCTTGCGTAGCTGGGTTTCCAGGTCCTCAGCTGGAAGCACTGCATCTGGTGGGCCTTGGTCCGGCAGATAGTAGCGCTGTTTGAACTCGGGCATTGAGAATAGGGCCTGTAGAGTGCTGTTGAGATAACAACTGTTGCCCAGGTTTTTCAGCCCTGTGAACTCTGGTCCAAACAAGGGCTGGAGCTCCTTGCCATCCTCTGTCACCATGGCAAAGTCCCATCGCAAGTTTTGTTCCACCTGCATCTCTGTGAGACTCTTCTCCGTCTTGACTCTATCCTTGATGTTGATGCCCCAGTGTGCGAGGTGATCCGGTAGCTCTGGGTCGACACGCTCCTCGTCGCAAGCATAGCAGTATATATCGGCCGTGCCATCGGCAGTGAGGGAGCCGAGTTTGACTGCGACAGGATGGCCAGTCGACTTGGTGTGTCCTACGCCATGTGAGTTGCCACCGACGCCACCAAACTGCTGACGTCCACAGCCCAGATTGCCACAGGTCAAGCAAAGCCACAGGTTCTCGTTGAGCTCGCACTCTGAGCAGTGACCCAACTTCTGGGACTCGATCTGCCGTGCTGCTTCTTGTTCCAGACAGAGGGTATGTTCACAAGCCGTAAGCTCCTGCTCCCATGCCTTGACCTCCTGCTGCGTCGCGAACGTGTTTGCCTTGAGAACAGCATTGACAATTCCAGGAAGTTTCCCTGAGCTCTTGTCGACGTCGTCGACGTTGCATTCGTAGCACTTGACTTGTGTGGTGGTGTCGTAGCGGTCGGACTCTGTTTCAGCTGCTACGGCAAGCTTGGTCATCTTCTGCGGCGGCTCATCACGCTTGACCCTCTTTCGCGTGCGCTTGATGTTGAGTACAAGTGGGTGGTTTGTAGACGAAACATGGAGCAGGGCGTGACCGCGGTCGCTTGTGCATCCTCCATTGAAGCAGTAAAGGCACACATCGAGGCCCGTGGGGTCGTCAATTGAGTCGAAGCACTGGGTGCAGTCCTCGCGGTAAACCGACTGTGTCGGACCTGGGGGATGAAGCTCTGTGACTTGTTAGTACTACATATCGATGCCATAGCTCCAGGCCAGGTTCCAAGCAGGCGGCCTTGCCCGCATGTCCCATGTTCCATGTCCCGTTTTGCGGCAGATACGGAGATACACACATACCTGGCGCGTTGACATGCGTACAAGCCATCTTTGGAGGGAGCAGAGCGAGATGCAAGAGGAGAATGTAATGGCTACACGCGACGGTTTGCTAAAGCGTTTGAAATGTTTGGTATGACATCGGCGCTACGCTAGGCTACCAGGGCTACTGGTTACTCCCCACCGCGGGGCACTAAAAGTGGGCCCCTTCCTTCATACCACCGGTACATGACCAACCCTCACTTCCCCTGCTGCCGTGCATTCAGGGACCAGTTCTGGAACTGTGTGAACAGCACTGGCTGCAACCGGCTTTTCTTGTCTGCAAACCACTCCTTCTGCGTCTCGGCGTACACGTCTACCACCCCAGCATAGTTACCCTTGTCCAGACCAATGAGCACCTTGACAACATGCAGACTGGCCGAAGCACATGCGTCTGCATGAACCTTTGCCCCGTTTCCTAGTTTAGCCTCCTCGTGTATGCCTTTCAGCAAGTCCCATACTTCCTCAATCCTCTCCGGCTTGGGCAGTGGCGCCTTTCGCTTCGTGCGCGTATCCAAGAAAGTCTTGAGTATCTTGCTTGCTTTGTCTGCCGTCTGCTTGTTGGCATTTGCACGAGTTCGGCGGAGTACTGGAAGAAGGACATGGAGAGTAAGCGGATTCGAGTACTGCTTTTCCAGATATACGGCCAGTAGATCAAGAACCCTTGATTTGAACTGTACAACGTTCTGCTTGGCATCCTCACGTTCCTTCTTCTTGCTTGTGGTCTTGCTTCGCTCTTTGAAGATCTTGCTGAGGTGCGGGTCGAGGGCCATCATCTGCTCATCATCCATGTCGGACTCGTCAGACGTGTCCTCTGCCGCGTCACAATTGACATCTGGTTTTGATGTCTGGAGAGTCATAGCCAACATGTTGTTGAACTGAGTCAGCTCTGCATCCTCTTCGTCTTCTTCGTCGTCGCTTCCGTCGCTGTCGTCTTCACTGGAATCGGAATCGGCTGAAGCATCATCATCGTCCGCTTCCCTATCAATCATCTCCACGTCAGACTCGTCTTCATTATCATCGCCTGAATCGCCCTCCTCGGCATCCCCGTCATCTTGGTTGAAAAGCTCCTTTTGTCCTTCCAGATTCTCTTCAGTGTCCAAGATCTCAGTCAATGAACGCAGCCCTTCGGCAGTAATCTCGGACGCAAAGATGGAGAACGCTTCTTCTCCTATGCGACGGAACAGAGTACGTGTATTACCCGAGAAAGAAAGCACTATCTCGACGAAAGCGTTCTGACCATCCGAGGTGGATGTCTTCTTCTTCTTTGACGACACCTTGCGTGAAGCCTCAAAGGCTTTGTAGGACGCGTCCAGATCATCGAGCATCATGACAGCGTCGCCTTCGCCATTGTAGGCTTGCAGAAGTGTTAGTGAGTACAGGAGCAGGAACCCTTCCGCAGCCAGCTCGTTGCCAGCGATCGAACCCTGGATGTTGTGTTAGATGGACTGGAGCACGAGGAGAACATACACATACGCTCGCGGATATCGCGTCAAGGCTCTGCAATCCCTTTTCCATGGTACTCCGCACTGATGCATCCGCCTTGAAGGCAAGTTCCAACTTTGTAGACTTGCTACTCTTGGATCTAATCATCTCTATAACCATGAGTGCGACATCAGAGCGCGCTCCAAGCTTGGCGTCAAGCAACTTGGTCAAACAAGAAGAGAGGCGCTCTTGAAACATGGTCCGGCTGCGATCACTGATAGCAGGAAGGGGCATCTTCTTGGTATCCGCGTTTTGAGCGGGGACAAAGTAGGCACACTCAACCAGTGTTTCCAATGTCTCGCGAAGCCAGTTGGATTTTCTGTCTTCTGGCGCGCGGCCTTGTCGTCGGTGAGTGACCTCTTTCAAAAAGACTTTTTCGTTGAACTTTTCGTATCGCTTATATTGCTTTACGGTATTCAGGAGAAGATCTGCGATAGCCTGGCGACGGCTATCTGCAGCGGACTGCTCCTCGGTTTCTGGGCGCAAGATCAATGAGCTGAGATGACGCACAATCTTCGTCAGGCTTTTGTCGTCTGCTGATGCGAGAATCTGATCGAGCGTTCTCGTCTTGGTGATCCGATCAAATTCAATGCTGCCATGCTTTGAAGTCAAAGCAACAAAAATGCTAACGGCCGTTCCGTCATCTTGTTCTGCTCTAAGCTGGACCGAACTCAATGCAGCCAAGGCGGCTGAGTGAAGGAATCGGTCTTCTTTCTTGCTCTGATTAATCAGGGTGCGCATCAGGTTAGGGCTGAAGAGGGCCGTCACCGTCTGCTCTGGGACACGTGCGATCATCCTACTCAACAGTTTGAAGCCCCAGGCTTTGCGTTCGTGAGATGCGGAAGAAGAGAAGAGATTGCCTATTCATGTCAGCCGTTCGAACTCGTGCCAATACTCTGCAATGATGAACTCACCGTCGACAGTGTCGATCCAGAACTGAGGGAATTCTGTTTTCTTGGAATCGTCCTTGTTCTGTTCATCCCTACGTAGAATCTCTGAAAATACTAGGTCCCAAGTAAACGGGGGGTTTGGGTTCGTAGTCCCAGTCTTTGTGGCTTCGTCCTTGCTATCATCTGACTCGCCCTTGTTGAAATCCTCCTTCAAAATCTTGGCTAATCGGGAACGTTCTTTTTTCGCCAGAGGATCTTTGCGGTGCCAAACGCCTTCTGGGAGTGAGTCTGGGTAACTCGCTTGGACGGTAAGCCATACAGCTACACCTTCAGGCGTAGAAACGAGCTTGAACGCGTTCAAACGCTCAAGTACTTCCTCTGCACATTTCTGGTACTTTGGCTGGCCTTTGAGGCTTCTCACTGCTTCGACAAGTACCATGCCGCATTCTTCGCGTAGCCAAGGGATGTCGCGCGCCATGCGATATACTTGATCCAGTAGCTTGTTCCAGCAATCCAATGAAAGCTCGGGCTCAACGACTATGGATGATTGCATAATGGCCTTGAATCCGAAAAGCTTCCCAATTGTGTGGTCTCGTTTTTCCTATGGTCGTTAGCAATGCAAGTGCGTGTATTGCGCGCCATGTGTCTTACCTTTCCAGGTACATTGCCCTTGGCCTTGGTCTTCTCCTCTACCATTTTGATAACAGATGCGACATCGAGTTCCAGATGTTGGATCTTGTGTGACGTATCCCCGAAAATTTGCCGTAACAACTCGGTGAGCGTGAGCGAGAATCCAACTCTAGCGGCTTTGCGTTGACTGCAGAGACCTTTTATCAACCGTACCAAGGCTTCTTCCACATCTTTGGCGGCCGGCTCGCTCTCAGGCGAAAATTTTACAATGATTTGCTTGGCGGCTTCAAGACGAACGTCGTCATCTTCTGCAGCCAGGTCTGCGTACAGCTTTGAGAGCTTGACCTTGTCTTGAATGGATGGTCTATGCCGTTTTGCGGGTGCCTCGTCTACCTTTTCGGCTTGGTCGACATCGCGCTCCCGTTTACGCGTCTTGTTCGCCATTTTCTTTACTGAAGTACTGGCACGTATGTTGGAGTTGGCAGTCGCGTAGAGGTTTGAGCAAAGTGAAGCACGGTATTCAAGAAAATTTAGGCGCTAACCCTGTATGGCCTAAGCTTTCAGGGTCCAGCAGCAACCTTGCTTGGTCAATTACGACCAGAAGGTGGACTTGGACAGGTGAGTCTCTGGAGTATTTCACGGAGATTATTTCTTTTCAAGAATTTGAGGATAATTGTATCTGCTACATATGCGGGTCAATGTCTCCGCGAGTCGAATTCACAGTCTACGCGCAGGAAGGCCTACTGATGGCAGAATGGGACCAATCATTCATTGTGTCATTTAGTCCTCCATATCATCAAGACCGGTAAACACACCAAGCTTGATTGCTGGTCTTGGAGCGCCCCGGTCACGATGTTCCTCGGGTTCCTTGGCAGGTGAAGCTTTCGACTCGACATTCTGACCCAATGCCTTCAACCTTTCCTCCTCCATATACGCTGGTATGTTGAAGGTATCCAGATCCTTGCCCTTCTCGCGCCAGTACTGCAGACTGTATAGGTTGCCGGCGCGAATCCTGTCGTTGTTCGGCCAAGGGTACCATGGCAAGTTGCTAGCCTTGAGCTTCTTTAGCCACTCCTCTTCTTCGGGGGTGACTTCAGGCGCGGGGGCATCGGCATCTCCGCCCTCTTTTTGGGCCTGAAGGCCATCGTTTGCCGGATCTGTGGTCTCTGGTACGATGGCAGGCGTGTTCAAACCGTTGGTGGGAAGACTGCTTGAAGCTACGTCTTCCTCTTCCTTGTCCTTGTCCGGTACAGGAACAGGCTCGCGGTAAGTTGGCGGTACAGTGTATCGGGAGATGTTGGTCGCGTATTGCAGCAGCTCATCAAAGGGAACGGCGCGCGAGTCTTGGGGGAACGTGGTCACTGGGGTGTTGAAGAGGTCATGTCGCAGTTCTGCGAGTTTCTTGACTGAATTTTTGAGCTGCTCTTCAAGTGCATCGGCTTCGGCGCGTAGGAGCTGAATGCGAACATGGTTTGCTTGGTGTTTGGCAACTGCAACGTGTCAGCTGGCGTTGGTAGTCGACACACATGATGGCATACGCTGGTCCAGCCCTTCACTCAGTTCGTCGTCGGCGGTGAAGAGATCGATGGCGGCCTGTGGGGCTGGGTTGTAAGCAGCGATGGAATCGACTAGCGTGGTCAGGGCCTTTTCAACGCGTGCAAACTGTGTGTTGAGCACGTCATCCATCTCGGGTGGGGGATGGCGTGGTGGAGTGTGAAGGCAGTGACATATGAGAAGATCAAGCATTGATTGAAGACGCGCATGCACGTGATGAAGATGATGCACATGCGCGCATTGGCGCTCTACTGACTAGAGTCGCGGGGTTGCCCGCCAAAGGCGCATGAGAAAGCGGGCCATGACGAACACGGCCATGTGTGTCGTCTAGAACGGATGGAGCTGTCACGACGGGCAGCAGCATCAAGCCTGAAACGCCGTCTCGTCCCTAGTTGCAAGCTTGTACTGTATATCCTTCACATGCACACCCCCTACCCTACTCTCTCGCAAAGCCCAGGTCCTGGTCTGGTTTCGTTCGCACAGAAGCAGCGGTTTGCCTGTTCCTAGACTGCCGCGCCCCCGTTCGCAGCAAAAGTCGACCCCACGTCTTCAATTGGTCCGCCACCACGGTCAGCTACCGTACTTTGACTGCTGCTCCGCCCACCCACATCCCACTGCCTTGCGCTCTTCCTCGTTGTATATTCCTGCGCGCCCCCGTCCTACTTACTCACTCACCATATTTCGCACATCTCGAAGCCATGGGTAAATCGTAAGTTCCTTCTCCTTCCTCTTTTATTATGCGGGGCCATGCCGCCTTCCGTCTGAAGTTTGGAGCACGAGTGGTGCTCTTCCCTCACGACAAGTCAAAGTATACGTGAATATCATACGCTGGCTGGGCGGCCGGACCTCGCAATGCATTGCATACAGAAAGCGCATATACCGCCCATCCGCACCCGCTTTCGACCGCAACACGTACAGACATGCAACCACGACTCGATCCCCGTAGCGACGATGAGAAGCATGCGCGCAAATCCCCCTCACCTCACCTGCCTCTGCACACGGGCGGGATACCGCTACTCGAACATGACCATCCGCCTCTCAACTTTGCGCGCCGCCATCACACCCAAGTACCCAGCCATGATGAGTCTGGATACGCGCACTACACCGACATACGCAAGGTTGCCCTGGCGAATGCTACACGTGGTTTCGAAAAGGAGCTGGGGTTGCGCTGCGGCATAGCTTGTTTGGAAGTACAGAATCACCAGCTGACGGTGCGATACTATAGCCAGAGTAAACTGTCCCAGCAGGAGCTGGCCGACCTCCAGAAAGCGACACACTTCGACAAGAAAGAGCTACAGCAATGGTACAAAGGTGCGCATAGATTGGGCAAAGTTAGCCAGCTTGTGACTGAGTACATCTAGGCTTCCTGAAGGATTGTCCCTCAGGCATGCTCACCAAGGAAGAGTTCCAGAAGATCTACAAGCAATTCTTCCCATTCGGCGACCCGTCATCATTTGCAGATTACGTCTTCAACGTATTCGATGCAGACAAATCAGGCACAATCGACTTTAAAGAGTTCATCTGCGCACTAAGCGTCACGAGCCGAGGCAAGATGGAAGACAAGCTCGATTGGGCCTTCCAGCTGTACGATATCGACGGCGACGGCAAAATCAGCTACGAGGAAATGTTGGCAATCGTAGAAGCCATCTACAAAATGGTATGCGACGTGGCACACGAGCGAGAAATATTGTCTGACACGTATAGGTCGGCTCCATGGTTAAGCTCCCAGAGGACGAAGACACGCCCGAGAAGCGCGTCAAGAAGATCTTCCGGATGATGGACAAGGACGAGAACGGCAGCTTAGACATGGCCGAGTTCAAGGAGGGCTCCAAGCGCGACGAGACTATCGTATCGGCCTTATCTCTGTACGACGGTCTTGTTTGAGGGGCAGGAGGGTTGATACCCGGTGTCGTTTTTTGTACTTGCTTCGTCATGGTCGATATCAAAGCGCATTTGTGGGATTCTGGCATATCATCATTCCCTTGCTGTTAGGGATGAAGAGGGTTGACATCGCCTCGGCGTACCGGAAATTATGAGCGACATATATGCAGCTCACAGTTTAGCTACAGGAGTGGAGGGTGCAACAATAACTTTCACGCTTCACGCTTCACGTCTTGTCGTCCGGGTGAGACGTGTGCATGTGCTTCCCAATTGACATGACCTTGTCAACTGCATGCACGCAAAGGAAATATAAATATCGTTACATACGCTTGCCCAAGACCCTGCGTGCGGAAATTGTGGCTTATGCCCGCCTTGGCACACGCGTAGCTTTGTTCGGCCACCGTCATGTAACCTTGAGCTCTGGACAGGTCGCTTCAGCACTTGAGCATTACACTGGACTGCTATTGCTACGCTTCTTTGTAAAGAGCCCTCGACGATTACTATGGACGACTCACATGTCTAACGACATCCTTCCGATTACGATTGACTTTCGGCCACGACGTTCCCGCAGCGCTAACTAAGTTTCGGTACTTTGCCTAGCATCTTAAGCTGACACAGGTCGCCTCCACAGCGCCTACAAGCCACTCTGTCACGCCTCTCCTAGACAACTGACCTCGTCTACACAATGCGGCGACTCGATGGATACACATCTGGCGCCCTTTTGGCCGCATTTCTAGCAGTCGCCTCCTCACCCGCCGCAGCTTTTTACTTTCCAGGAACCGCGCCGACTTCGTACAAGACCGGAGACGCCGTGCCACTGTACGTCAATCGCCTCACACCCGCCGACTCGCAAAACGACCCAAAGCTACGATCCGTCTTCTCCTTCGACTATTATCATCCGCCCTTCCACTTTTGCCGCGAAAGAGATGGCCCCAAAGAAATTCGCGAAAGCCTGGGGAGCATCCTGTTCGGCGATCGCATACAGACGAGTCCCTTTGAGTTGAAAATGGGCGTAAATGAGACGTGCAAGCTCCTATGTGAAGCCCCGTATCCAGGCAAAGATGCGGCCTTTGTGAATAGCAGGATATACCAGGGCTACGATTTCAATTGGTTAATAGACGGCCTACCCGCCGCACAGTCGTTGCGAGAACCGGGCTCCGACGAACCCTTCTACCAGCCTGGCTTTGCACTGGGCCTCGTGGACGAGGATGTGCCTATGCTCAACAACCACTACGACATTCTCATCGACTACCACGAGGCTTCGCCGGGCAACTTTCGCGTCGTGGGTGTGCTGGTCGATCCATACTCAATGGCAGACTCGAGAAGGCAGGGCGATAATCAGGCTACATGCACCGGTCAAACCCCCCTCGTTCTGAAAGAAAACGACGAAGACAAGAATCTGGTCGTCTTCACGTACGGTGTGTACTGGAGACCTAGCCCTACTCCCTTTGCAACGCGATGGGACAAGTACCTACACGTCTACGACCCTAAGATCCACTGGTTCTCGCTCATCAACTCGGCCGTCATTGTTGTATTCCTCGTCGGCATGGTTAGCACCATTCTCGTTCGCACACTCAAAAAGGACATTGCGCGCTACAATCGGCTGGACCAACTTGCGCTCGACGACTTTGGCGAAAGTGGCGATGCGGACGATACTGTCGATGATTCAGGATGGAAGCTGGTACATGGTGACGTTTTTAGACCACCGCAGAACCCGCTACTACTGTCCGTCTTGGTAGGCAATGGGGTTCAGCTCTTTGCCATGACGGCGTTGACTATAGGTAAGTTGCCAATTTTCATCATGGTAGCGAGGCTTTGGCTGACATTAACAACAGTGTTTGCGCTGCTCGGCTTTCTATCCCCCAGCAACCGTGGCGCTCTCGGAACCGTCATCATCATCTTCTACACAATCTTTGGCTTCCTCGGAGGCTATGCTTCCGCGCGCACGTACAAGTTTTTCCACGGCGAATCTTGGAAGCTATGCTTCTTCTACACCCCGGTCGCATTGCCTGCCATTGTCTTCGGTGTCTTCTTCCTCATGAACCTGTTTGTCTGGGGTCGGGGCGCATCCGGAGCTGTGCCCTTTTCCACGATGCTAGTCGTCGTCATCATCTGGTTCGTCATCTCCGTCCCGCTTAGTGTCGCGGGTTCCTGGCTAGGATTCAAGCAAGCCATCATTGAACCACCCGTTCGCACAAACCAGATTCCACGCCAAATCCCGCCTGTGGGCGGCTACCTGCGCCCTCTACCTTCCATGGCTCTGGCTGGTGTCCTCCCTTTTGGCGCCATCTTCGTCGAACTTTACTTCATCATGAACTCAATCTGGTTCTCAAAGGTCTACTACATGTTCGGTTTCCTCTTCATCTGTTTCGGACTCATGATTATCACCTCTGCCGCTGTCACGGTGTTGATGATTTACTTTTTGCTTTGTGCCGAGAACTACCATTGGCAGTGGCGCTCCTTCTTCACCGCCGGTGCGAGTGCTGCGTACGTCTTTGCTAGTTGCCTGTTGTACTGGGTCAAGGACGTTAGCTGGACAAGTTGGACGAGCGGAGTCGTGTATCTGGGATACTCGGCGCTGCTGAGTGCCCTGGTATTTGTCCTCACTGGTACGTTTGCTTCGAATTCTCCCTGTTTGATATTCGGACTTGCTAACAGGAACAACCAGGTACAATTGGCTTCCTAGCTAGTTGGTATTTTACGCTCAAGATTTACAAGTCTATCAAGGTCGACTAGGGGGGTTAAATATGAGTTGCTGGGGTGTTTATATATCCAATAGAACTACAAAACCTACATATGTCTTGATGTTTCTGTGTGCCAGTATATGTTGTCTACGCGGTTCAAGTTTAACGTAACTCTCCGCAATATAACAATGCCACGTTCGAAGCAGCGTGATTAGTCCTGCGCGACCTCTACAGCTCATCGCCAGCCCCATGTCTGCCTGCCTTGTCCGCCTCGCGTGTCTAAGGCGCCCTGTATTTACGCGCGACTGGGCGCAGCAGCAAACAGGGCGCCTTGGCAATATGCCTATTCCGCATTTGCCGGTCAAGATCAGGCACCTGTTCCCAGAACAGGTCATTACATTTTTTGAAGCCGCAGGTTGACAGTCTTGTATAAGAGTCGCCCTTGCCGCTGTTTTCTGGTTGTGCAAAACTGAAGGTTGTACTAGGGAATCTTAATGATGGCACCCAGACGGAGCGGCCACGGCTACGGCCATAGCGCAGTTTGTGACGGCGCTTTCGCAAGCATCGAGACGCAAGTCTCCCTCGCCTATATCATCCTATTCACCCTTGTTTTCTTCTTCATTTTCGCCGCCTTGTTCTTCGTTCGCAAGCGGAGTGGTCGAACAGGCAAGGCACTTGTCAGTACATCGTATATCAGTGCCGTCGTTATGATGCTCATGTAAGTCTGCGCCTTTCCCTCTTCTTACAACGTACGATATAAGAAAGACTTGTACGAAAACACGTACTAATGAAATGATAGTTCAAACATACTCGAAACAGTCTCCTTCATCCTAATCTCCTGCAACACGACAAACTACTTCAACTACCTAAATATGGTCATTGCTTCAAACGTCTTCTACGCCCTAGCTACATGGTGTCTCCTGTTCGTCACAGTATACATCCTCAATGCACTTCTCACTCGATACCTCCATCTCGGTCGTGGCCAGCAAACAAGTCCCGTGGTTAAAGTCATACCGCTGGCTGTTGTGACGGTCATGTTACCGCTTATCTGCGCTGGCATGAGACTCTGGACCTACATTACTATCACGAGCGATGCAGAAAGATCGGGGGGTGGCGATATGATGTATGCGACTAGCCGGATGCTGAGTCTGACAGTGCGTGTTATATATCTTATAGGTGTATGCGCGGGAGCTGTACTGGTAGGGTTAAGCGTCATGAAGATGAGAGCTCGTAGGGTAGCTGGTGGAGTAAGTCTTTTCCCCCCTCTCTCTCTCTTTGTACCTTGTGAGCGGACATTCTAACTGACGTTTATCATCCAGGGTCTCATAGTCTGGGTGGCTGTGCTCTTCTTCTCGATGCTACTGTGGAATATCTTGTCGCTCATACGAGCAGCGGAGATTCTGAGTGGCATTACGTGGAATTGGGGGGCCGAAATGGCACAGGCGTATCTACAGGGCGCGTTTCAGGCTTTGGCTTTTGTTGCGCTCATGGGTATTGCTAAACATCCGTCATGGGAGAGTATGGAAGATGCGGTCCAGCAGGAGTATTCGCCTGTGGGACAGCAACAGGCGACGACTACTACGACGACGTATGAGGGAGCGCAGCTGGATCATTTTCAGTCGCCGGCTGTTTATGAGGCACCTGTTTACGTACATGCCAAGTAAGCTAGAGGAAATACGACGATGGAATCTAGTTGTTGCTTTTTTTTTCTGTTCTAGTTGTTCGGAATCGTCCTATAACTAGACTCAGTATATAGTAGTAGCCCTCTCCCTCCTACCAGCCCGCTAGCTAGCCTGCTCATGATCCAGAATAAAGTAAAGACATGAAGATGCAGACTGCAGACTGCGAAATCCAGGCTCCAGAATTATGTTGTTCATATCCACGGTGTGTTTGTTGGTGTTGAAAAGCGAGGCTGAGTTTCCACGCGGGATCTTGCATACCTAGGTACCTAACAGCCACGCATCACAGCCAGTAGTTAAGTTACCGGTAGCCGACGCCAAGCCGGCAAAGGCCCTGCAGCGCCGGCAAACCAACAAACCCTAGGGTACCGTTAACACCGTCCCTAGCGAAACACGGGCGTCATCGGCCCCTCCTCCACTTCACATGCCAACCACGCAATGTCCTCACCAGCACCAGCACCACCTGTCGCACACCAAACGCAAAGTAAACCCAATTCCAGCGCTTCAAATGCATCGCCAACATACATCCAATACGATGCCTCAAAAGAAGAGCAATACCTACCCGCCATCCGGCAACTCATTTCCAAAGATCTTTCGGAGCCTTATAGTATATACGTCTACCGGTATTTCTTGTATCAATGGGGTGATTTGTGCTACATGGTAACTAACTTCTTTTTTAACAACCACACCCCAATCGCTGATTCCAACTCCACCAGGCACTCACTCCCACTATAACCCCTGCCCTAATCGGCGTAATAACATGTAAACTGGAACCCCACCGTTCGGGAACCTACCGCGGCTACATCGCCATGCTTGCAACACAAGAAGAATACAGGGGACGAGGTATAGCCACACAGCTAGTCAGACTAGCCATTGAAGCCATGACAGCTCGCGACGCAGATGAGATAGTGCTGGAGACGGAGGTGTCGAATACGGCGAGTTTGAAGCTGTATGAGCGTCTGGGGTTCATACGGAGTAAGCGGCTGCATCGGTATTATTTGAATGGCAATGCGGCGTTTAGGTTGATCCTCTATTTGAAGGAGGGGACGGCGTTGAAGAGGCCGGATATGCTGGGTGGTGGTGATGGGCATGGGGCGGTAGAGATGCATCAACATGATATGAGGAGAGTGGATGAGGCAGACATGTATTCATAAGCTTGGGAAAGAGAGGAACAGAGAGCGTAAGCCAATCTTTGGCACGAACCGGATAGTATTTGTAAATAGGAGCAGTGGGGTACTATGAATCCTGATATAATTTTCTGACATCTACGTTGATGGCTTTGTACGACGAAAAATTTGACAGAAAATAAAGTTTCCGCCAGCTTAATGGGTTCTACAAGAATACGTTGGCTAACGGTACACAAATAGCTGATCGGCTAGCATCGGCGGCACTCCGCACGGACCCGGGGCATGAATCCTGATATAGTGAACAGGACTGGTGCACCCGGCGAGACGTATACGATAAAGCAGATGTTCCCGAGCTATATACTTGATAAACATGATATTTTATGCTCCAAAAAGGATAAGGTAATACTAGTCTACATATCTACATTAGACCCATTGGAAAAGGCCTGCCAGGAAAAATGCATTTTTTTACACAAACGGTAGCACGATATGACTTGGGTAATCGCCTCCAATGTGCACCTGATGCGTACCCTTGTTCCTCTCCTCAAGCTCTACCTTCTTCCTCGGGCCAAACTCCTGCACGAGCGGGTACTCGCCACTGACCTGCACACTGATGCCCTCTCCAGCCTCAAAGTCGACACCCATGGCCCACAGGCCAATTTCCAGCTTCACGATCTCGCCGGGAGTAATCTTCTTCACCTCGTCGTGCGTGTGGAATGGGTATTGTGGGTGTATCGACTTTGACTCGTCGATCTTGCGGTGCGAGGCGCGTAGGACACCTGTAGGTCCGTAGTAAATCATAAGATTAGAGTAATCTGTCTCTGGTATGTCGGCCGTTTTTTTGTACGGCATAACTTCTAGAGGAATGTTGACAGCAATCATCGGTTTTTTTTGTGCGTCGAGTTTGCGGATGAGGACGTATACGATCATGTCGTTGAAGTCTGGGCAAGACATGTATAGGACGGCTTTGGGGAGGCCCATGAGGCGTGTAGGTTTATCGAACTTGAGTTCAAAGGCAGCGTGTGCAACAGGTGATGAGTTGCTTTCCGAGTTGTACGAGACTATGCTAGTATTTGACGGCGCTGAGGTTTGGAGGGTGTTGGCGCTGCTGAAGTAGAGACTTCTATAGTCTGTACGTGGGATTGGAAAGTCCTCTTCGATGATAGGATAAATGGCTTCCTTGTCGCCGTAATTCAAAGACGCCATGCGCACACGCGGCGTCTGCTCCCAATCGTTCTTCTCGCCCTTGAGATAGCAGTCGAAGAAGCTGGCGAGCTCATCGATGGATTCTTTGACGGCCCAGAGATCGTACCACTCTTGGTAAGGATCCCATCGGAGCCACTTGTCCTTGGTTTTGATCTGCATCCATCCTCGTATCGAGCCCATGGTGTGGACAAAGCTGGAGTATGACGCGACGATGTAAGTAGGGATGTTGATCTTCTCAATCTCGGCCCTATAATTTTCAACGTTAGATTGAGCATCATATAGGGGGTGTTGATAGTGAGCTTACCGCTTGTCTTCCCAGTAAGGATTCATTGTGGAAGAACGCTTATACATCTCCTTAAAGTCCTCAAGACCGTTCTTTCCACGGATAACATGCTCTGTGATGAAGTCGAATAGGCCGTTATCCCAAGCACCTCCCCGTACGAACTGCTCGCGATAGAGATCTCCACAAGCTTCCCAGGGTGCAATTGCCTTGAGAGATGGCGGTTGAGTCGCTGCGATGAACCATTGGACGATGCCAAGATGTGAGTTGCCCGCAAGGCCAATGTTGCCGTTGCACCAATCTAAAATCGAGATGGACTCTATCACGTCGTGGCCATCCTCGCCCTCTTGCTTTCCCATGATGACGATGTCTCCGTCCGAGTCACCTGCTCCTCGTGCATCGACGTTGACAACAGCGTACCCACGCGGGCAGTATTCTGCTGGGTCAGGTCCTTCGAACCGCTCAAGCCCGCTAAGGCATCCTGCTGGTACACCGCAGCCCCATTTGACCTAAAACAGTGTTAATTCTAGATGACCAATACGCGACTTGTGTACACCTCTGACTCGCCTTTTTCATCATATCTATACCCGCATGCTTCTTGCCAAATGGACTCCATGCTACAATTGCAGGTACCTTGACGCCTGAGTCGCTGCCGACGGGTCGGTAAATGTCGCAGTATAAAGTACATCCATCCCTGACTTTGACAGCAACATCGTGCTCGACGATCATGTCTTCAGAGAGTGCGCGAGCACCATCGCGACTTTGGTAGCCCTTCTTAAGGATTTCCTTGCGTGGGTTGAAGCCCTGGTAGCCGTTTTCACCAACCTTGGGTGGCTTGACGGCAAGATTTGCAACTTGAAATGCGAGAGGCATGTTTGTGAATGATGATGAGAAAAATGATAAAGCAATTGACGTGCAATGACAAGAGGGGGGGGGATACGTTGGTTTTGAAGGCATAATTGGTCGTGGGTCCCAATGTTGCAGGCCTCGACCGTACTCGGCCGCGATATACCACGGCTCTGATTGACCGGACTACCATAGTGAAGCAAGCATTAGTCGGCATGTGGAGAGACACATGGGGAAGGCCGGGCGCGCGTTAACTACTGTACTTAGTTAATGCGGGGCGGCTAAACCTCGCCCGTGCCCGACCGAAAATGCGCCAGGCGATAGGGTCAACCCCACATAAAGCTTAGTCTGTCCCTGCAGCCCTGTAATGAACGGCCGTGAACGGGCGAGCTGAGTGGAGGTGCACATTGCTGCCGCAAAGTATATCAATAAGCAGCCATGGACGTTTGTAGCCATCTCCGACACTACTCCACACTTGCAAACATCACCAGCACCACTACAGTATTCTTATACCCTACTACCGCTACTACTACTTTGTCTATTCCGGCCCCAACTGAGCTCTTTCACAATGGCGCCCTTCCTTGACGACAACGAGAGCGAGAGCGTCCAGCAGCCATATGGCGACTGGCGCGACGATTTCTACAAAAATGGATACGTCGTCATCAAGAACGTAGTGCCTCGTGACAGGGCACTGAAGTACAGAAATAAGATGATGGACTGGCTGGGCACCTTTCCCAATGACTTCGACATCAAGAATCCAGAGACCTGGACCAAGGAGAACCTTCCCCAAAGCTTCAAGAACGGTATGTACTTGAACTACTGCGCGGCACATGAGAAATATGTCTGGGAGGCTAGGCAGTAAGTACACCCTTGTAGCGTAAAACTACAGTCACCTGGCAGCACGGACATACACTAACACTATTTGCAGAGAACCTGGTGTTCTGGCCGCCTTTGAGAAGCTCTGGAACACACCTGAGCTTATTGTCTCATATGACACTATCAACCTGACTTTGCCCAATGCTGGCAAGATGGCTGGCTCCAAGCCATGGCCACACGTCGACCAGGCCCCCGAGCGCAAGGGCCTTTCATGTGTTCAGGGCATAATCAACCGTATGTTACACCGCCTTCCTCAACATGCCAACACAGCATACTAACGTCTAATTTGTAGTCTCTGAAGCCGGCCCGAAGGATGGAGGCCTTGTAGTAATGGAAGGCAGTGCTAAGCTGTTCGACCAATTCTTCAGGGAGCATCCCCCCGACAGAACCAAGGGTCCCTTGGCTGCTCTCCACTACGACTTCTACCCCTTCCAAGACTCAGACGTCAAGTGGTACGAGGACCATGGCTGCAAGCTTGTCAAGGTCTGTGCTGAGCCCGGTGACCTTATCCTCTGGGATTCGCGACAGATGCACTACGCCGTCTACCCCGAGACCGACAACATCCGCACAATCATCTACGCTTGCTACACACCAGCATCCATGGCGACCAAGGAAGACTTGGAGAAGAAGAAGGAGATTTTTGAGAAATGGGAAGCGACAACACATTGGCCACACATCAACATCCACTCGCAAGGAAAGGCAATGATTGATGGCAAGATTGACCCATGGGAGCGGACTGAGCCTCTGGAGAAGCCAGAGTTGACCGACAAGCTGCTCAAGCTTGCAGGTGTCAAGCCGTACTGAACGGCTTTTGGAGATGATGAAGTTTTTTATTAGTATCTTCATAGCTGAAGAAATACATTGTCCCATTCGTTCAAATCGAAATTTCCCTCCATTGTATTCCCGAGTCCGTCAAACATGTTGACATCCTCGTAGTTGCCCACATTGCCAAAACCGTCCATCGCGGCATTCGGAGTTGGCAAATTCGATGGCACATCCTGCTGGGCCGTCGAGAGCTGCTGTAAGAGATCATGAACCGTGCGGGGCGCACGAGGCTGCTCGAAGTCATGTTGTTCTAATAGTGGCAAAAGGCCTCCAAGCACGGCATTGCCTTTTGCAGCATGTACTGCGACCACGGAATGCTTCCCTAATTCTGTAGAAGCCTGTCTGAGCAGATTTATGATGCAAATTCGGGCATTGCCCCGATAATCGTGAGGGTTAGCAAGCATGTCCAATGCCATGTAGATAGCGGCCGCGACGGTAGCCGCGGATACCGTCCATACTAATCTATATACCCTTGGTACTGGCATCGCATAGTGGTTCAGGATGCGATTAGCGCATTGAAGAGCGAGTTGCCTGAAGGTCGTTGAGTCGTCCTCCGGCTTTTTCGGTATCAGTACGCGGGCAATTGATAAGAGGAGGAAATCAAGGACATAGGTAATGAGATAGCGTTGAAAGGGAATCCAAGGGTGTTCCGATTCCCATTGCCGATCATCCTCATTCGCCGGAAAGCTCGGCGAAAGGTGCAGAGGCAAGTCCCGTTGCACATTCTGAATCTCCTCGATGGCTTTTGCAAACTTCAGGTGTGTCTGATGTGTGTTTGCCTTGATGTAAAGATACAACACGTAAGAAAGCCGTGACATTATCGAGTGATAATGAGCCGGCGATGGAGTGCCCAGGTTGACCGAATCAAACGAGGCGGGACTGTCAGCGACCCGGATACCCGGTAAGATGTAGTCATCATGACTCGTCCCGGTCGACACTTGGCAGCAAAAGCTGGCAGGAGAGATGGACGGCGGCCGAGACCAGCTACCAAGCCTATGGACGTCGAGTTAGTTTCGGACAAATCCACATATATACATAATGTATCGCGGCATGTAATCACGTGGGTGACATGAAGTACTTGACACCCCAGTAAACAAAAGCTGTTGTAGGTGTCAGGTGCACCTATCAGGAGCAGAACAGTGGGGTGTAGCCACACTGTTGCTATCAAGCATTTCATGTCACCCAAGTGCAATGGAGGAGATACGTACCAGTCTCGAATGACACACGACCACCACAGCCTTCTGCCAAGCTCCCTTTGGGAAGGCGAAGACCACTCTGGCCTTCGACACAGATCCTTGGAACAGTTGGTCTCGGTCCCAAGCTTGTGCATGTCGAGACACCTGGCCATGTTGGTCGCAAAGCCAGTGATGAGCCACTCTCTTTGGTGCTCCCCAAAGTTGGAGTGACACAAAGTCAAGACCGACAGTGCCTGTACAACAGGTAGCGACGGTGCACCGGCAAATCCATATCGCTCCAACTCCTTGAGAGCAGCCTCGTACCAGATGCGAGAGGTATGAACTGCCATGGCCACGGGATCCACAACGGGCAGACCTAATTGAGGAAGATGCGCGCCACCGGGAATCCTTTCCGGTTCCAAGTACAGGATACCGACGGCCAGGACAGCAAAGTAGACAATCAGCCATGGTCGGCGTTCGCGAGGGATGCCAGTACCGAGCTGGGTGCTCTGCCAGAAGTCTTCGTGTTCTTCGAGGAACACATCGGCGTTGACGGCACAGTGCAGCCATCCCAGCGTCTGCAGAGAATAATTGACAAGCTGAAGTGAACAAGTTTTGCTAGGAAGCAACAGAAATAAGGGATCAGCCGCAGGGCCGTAGAGGCGGTCGGCAATTTCCTTTTCTGCCCCGTCTCGAGCTGCTGTGCTGGTCTTGATGCCAATGTCAAACTGCTCAAATGCCGGGACAAGGTCCTCTAGTGAAGCTGCAGGCTGCGAGTAGTCGGTGGATTCACTTGTGCGGCTGTGGGCACATGGCTTGGACAAGGCGAGAGCGGTCTCAAGTTCAGCAATCTGTGCCCGCAAAGCTCCTCGCTCCCGAAGTAAGTCATCTAGCTTTACGTTGGATGAATCTTCTCCCTCGGCAGTGTAGACGGTTAGCTGCCCCCTCACGCGTGCTATCGGTCTTTTACATTCGTGGGCAGCATTCCTGCGGATACACGGCTGGCAGGGGCTCTTTTTGTCGCATCTGATTTTGCGACGCCCGCATTCGATGCACGAGCGCGACACGCGCTGTGACGTCTTGATGGGTTCGCTCATGGTGTGGTGTTCGAGGTGATTCCTTGCCGAGGATGAGGCTGAAAATACCACCCCGACCCCGCAAACCCGGGGCTAATTCCCCACAGTCTAGCCCGCGTCCTCCACAATCCGTGCGCCTACTTATTGGACTAGACGGCTCAGTACGGGCGAGCATCGCGATGGATCCCTCGTTCCATGTTATCCAAGCCTTGCTCTGCGTCTGGTAGCTGCGTCCACTTCAGACGCTGAATCCTACTTATTGCTCGAAATGCCGCTGCTCACTGGGCCTTCATTGGCATCCAAACACCATGGCCCCTCACGACTACAAGACAGAACCGAGCGCCCATATTGAGATTATCGACGCCCACAAGAAGGCTGCGAAGCCAGTCGTCGGCACAATCAGACTGTACGATGAAGATGGCATCGTGCTGATTCCAACCCCGACCAGAGATCCCAATGGTTAGCAACAACCACGTATACCCTTCTTTCCCGAGCACAGCTTAACTTTGGCAGATCCACTCAATCTCCCAAAATGGCAGAAGTACCTCATTCTGATCATTGTCGGCCTCTTCGCCGCCACTGGCAACTTGATGGCCAGCGGTATCACTGCCATTTTACCCATCATACAGGCTGAGTACGGTGGAGACCCCAAGACGCATGATCTCGCCACTTGGCCAGCTTTCTTTATGGGCGTCGGCAACCTCCTTGCTATCCCGATCGCGCACGCTGTCGGACGTAGACCGATTTATTTGTTGTCGACAATTGTTTTGGCTCTCACTAGCGCTTGGTGCGCCCAGAGCACCAGCCTGTCCTCCCATATCGCTGGCAGAGATGTCATGTCCATTGCTGCTGGTCAGGCTGAAGCGCTCTGCCCTATCATCATTCAAGAAATCTTTTATTTACATGGCATGTTTATCCTTCAATTATAAAATTTCATTTTTAACTCGTTTTAGAAAGGGGTAACGTGATCGCTTGGTTCTGCGCGATCCAGACTCTTGGCACTGCCGCCCTTATCGTTTCCAGCTCCTATCTCGCCACCGATCTCGGCTGGAGGTGGTGGTATGGCGTCTTCGGTTGCGTGAACGGAGCTATTGCCCTTCTCAGTATCATCTTTGTTGTCGAGACCAAGTATGTGCGAACACTGGAAGCACTGAGTACGTCCCTACCAATACATCTACTCATACATACTCACACATCACAGACGGTGAAGGTATTGAAGAAGACGGCATGCTGGTGCCTGTCACGACCAACACCAAACGCGAATTTGACACCACCAACTACTCCCCACGCAGCTTCTTCAAGGACATGCTCCCATGGAAGGGCCACGCACACTGGCACGAGGCCATCGATTGCTGGAAGCAAATGTTCCAGATCATTTGGTTTCCCAACATTATCTGGTTGATCCTTATCAACTCTGCCGCTCTTGGCATATACGTACTCATGTCCGCCCTGTTCGCTGGTGTCCTGGTCCAACCTCCCTTCCTGTGGAACTTCGACATGCTCGGATATGTCTTCGCTGGACAGGTTGCTACCGCAGTCGCGGTACCGTTCTTCTGCGGTTATCTAAGCGATGTTATCGTCAAATATATCAGTAAGAGGAACGGCGGCGTGACTCAGCCAGAATATCGCCTGCTGGCCCTGATCATTCCGTTGATCTGTATACTCATATCAACTGTCATCTACGGAAAAACAGCACAGGACCCCGAAAACTGGTCGTGGGCCGGTATTGCCGTCACACTCAACATCGAATACTTTGGCTTTGTTGGCATCGTGGTATCCAGTTTCGTGTACTGCATGGATGCCTACCCGCAGCGCATAGATGCCGCACTGGTTCTCATTTGCTCGCTGAGGGGTTTCATCGGCTTTGGTATCTCCTTCGGGTCAATTGGTTTCGTGAATTCCGCAGGATACGACGGCGCTTTCAACATCTGTGCTGGTATCGTCGGAGCGTTGATGTGCCTTGGCATTCCCGTCTACTTCCTAGGTGACAAGATCCGGGCCATGACCCAGAGGTTTGCTCAGGACGATTAGGGGTTTCTGGGAGCAGTTTTGATGTTGAAGGGGGTAGCGAAGCGTGCCTTGCAAATGAAGGCAATCACCTGTATGATACTTCTGGCCTTTAAGCCCTACCTCGCTTTCACACGATGACGATCGCTATGACATGATCTTGATATGATACTTCTTCCAAAGCTTTCAATTCGTTATTGTTTTGCCTGTGAGGTAGTCGGAATGGACCGGAAGTACCGGAAGTATCCAACTTCGTCATGTACAAATTACCGAGCCTTCCAGCAAGGAGTGATTGTCACGCATCATGTCAAGCTTGAGAGATGGTATTTCTAAGAGCAAAATGTATTATCGGGTTTCCTAGTTGAGGAAATAAACATCGTGGAAGGCGCAAGGCTGTCGGTGTAGGCGCCCGGGTGTCATAAGATACTTGGCATACGGGTGTACAAGAGCCACTGTAGTCGCCAGACACACCTGTCAGGTGCTTACCTATACTTTCAAGTATTTTATGACACCCGGGTGGAGGTAAGTAATACAGCACGCATCGTCGGACCGGCCCCGGAGACATCGTCAACCAGGAGCTAAAGACACCCGTCCGAATGATCCATCGAATCGCGAGAGATGTACAGCTTGACAACGACATGTCACTTAGTACGTGACATGCGAAACTTGATACTAATCTGAGGAGCTTCAACCTTCCCCGAAAACTACGGGGTCTTTGACGTTAAATACAATTCCCTTCTTAAGTCACACAAAGAAGTTGGCAGAAAAACTAGCGAACTTCTTAATTCCAGCCATACGATTTCCCACACCAGCGAATGCAATGCAAAAGCTGAATCGCGTCCTCTCCAACGCACAGTCAGTGAAACCGCATGCCAGAACTGCTGTACTTCTGTCATGGTTGTCTAGCATCTTGGAGTTTCTTCCTACACATCTGGTTCCCCAATCTTCTACCCCTAGCGTCTTCACAACTACCTCTCCTCACTTACCCTATAAACCCTACCCCAGCCACCAGAAGCAAAACAATCCACCCCATCAATGTAAGCGAAGGCTTCTCCACACCCGCTGCCGCATCTATTTCCTTTTCATTAGCCTAACATGTCCTCTTCACCTCCCGCCTCCCAAACACGAGATTTTCTTCTCCACTTACCAGGAACATCCGTCGGGGAAGCAAGCTCATCGCCATCATTGGGGTTATTATCACTAGTGTACTTGTTAGACTCGATGCGAGAGTTTCCAGAATTTGGGCGTGCAGGGCTTCCAGGATCTTCGAAGAAGCAAGGGAAGTTGTGGCCGTAGACGTTTGCTTCGGGGTAGAGGTTTATGACACAAGCGCGCCACGAAGATGTTTTAGAGGGTGAGACAACACAGTATCTATAAAGATTGTAAGTTTTTTTTGTCAAGTATAGTACCTTACTCTCTAGTTATTCCTTTCTAATTATGAGAGGATGGTGATCAGATCAGAGAAAGTACGGGCAAAATAGAGAGAAAAGGGCCCATGGGATGGTGGAATAGTCTTACTGGGTGCAGTTTTTATGTACATAAACGTTACTATCCCTCCCCTTTTCCAAATCTTCTTCTCCATCTCCGCAGCAGGAGGATAGGTTTGGGATCAAGATGTCGGCATTATAGGCGCAGTAGGGGCGAGGGAAGTCAGCAGGGGCGACTCTCAGGATGGAAGAGGCGGAGCACAAGGATGCCCTAGTCGTTGCAGGGACGGAAGTGCTAGCTGCGCTGCTAGCAGGTATGATGATGGCACGGGTTACGGCCGGATTTAAGGGGGGTGTGAAGGAAGATAAGGAAGAGAGGGAAGATGACATTATGTCGGTTTGATTGGTTTGTAGGGTTGGGAATGAGAGAAGATATGCGTGCTCTTGATCCACCTTTATGATATTGGGGTTCTCTACTTATACCGTTGAGGATATTCAGGATAACAAGGCGGTAACAGGAAAGCGCCACATATCTACTTGTACACGTTGTTCAATACCCTAGGCTGAATTCCCTTTGCTAGCACGTTGATGTCACAGCCTTAGATCCGTTGTACCCGGATGTTTCTTAGTTTTGGGCGAGAATGTGAGAGAAAGCGGGTGATAGGCAAACGCCCGTAAAGCAGCCAAGCAACGCGAAGGTGTATAGATAGGATGTCTTGGATGTGATTGGCAATGTGTGTGGTTTGTGGTTGGTGAACTAGCTTCGGATGTCGGCACGCCAAGGATTGATATGTTGTGGGGTAGGTATACTGTATTCGCGCCAGCCGGGGACATGATGGCGCCTACCTAGATGTCATAAGTACTTAATAGTGTAGGTAAACATGTGTCTGGCGACTACAGTGGCCCTTTTACACTAGTATGTCAGGTAATTTATGACACCCAAGTGGTGGTGTGGGGATAAAAAATGTAGGTGGTGAGTTTCTTGGTGTAAATTCCAAGGTCGTCTTATGGAATTAGTGATTTCCTTTTCGTACTCTTCCCTATAATTCTACTACTTGTGCAGTGTCGGGTACAATAGAAACTACGCATTTTCCTCATCTGTACATCTTGTGCAGCAACGGTCGAGGTTTAGTGGCTCCTTCGTGCAGATGAGCGGGTCGGCTGATGGATGCCTTATCATCCCATTTTCGTAGCAAAGGAACGCCTTACATGAATAGATGGGACAACATGTCTAACCCCATTCCACTCGAGAAACAACATTTCATCATAAGCTGCATTTCCACCATAAAACGCCAGATAGATATACAAGTTCCATAACCACATATTCAGGGTATCAATCAATCCAACCCTGTAATCATGCACATCAGGGCCACAATTCAAACACAGGAACAAAAGCAAGAAATCGGCGTTCAAGCATTAGCCTGTACAACCTTAAAACCGTCAGAAACCATCTTCTGAATCTCCTCATCCTTGTGCTGCAACTGGCCCAAAGCATACGCGACATCATTCCACTGTCTCTCGTTCTCCGCTCTCGGCAGCCTGGAAGCAAGTTTGGCAGCGAGCTGTCTAGCATGCTTGTCCTAGAAAACATTAGTTCTACAACATCCCACGCACAACGTACTTGCAGAAAACATACCTTTTCAATAAACCCGGCCAAGAACTTGATGATCCTCTTGAGCGCATCTTCGCTCAGCGCAGAATCCGCGCTGAGTACACTGAACATGTCGATAAACTGGTTATACACCGCATTATCTTTTGTCGACAATTCAGTAAAGAACATGCGTGCCATGTCTGCAATCTTCTTGTCGCTATCCTCGAGACACTTTGCCATCTCTCCCAACTGACCCTTGACCTTGACCTGTCCGGCAAGAATCAAGAAGGTGAGTGTCATCAGACATGTTCGCTTGACGCTGGGGTCACCGTCGTTGAGGCGGCGGTAGAGGAAGTCGGTATTCTCGTCGATAAGATGGTTGAAGCAGACAGCCATGTCTCCTAGGGCGACGACCAGGTTACTGCGGACGACAGCATCTTGGCTTCGTTCGAGGATTGTGAGAAGCAGGCCGAGATTGGTTTCACAGTATTCTGAGCTTACGCACATGAGCTTGGCTAAACATAGCGCTGCCTGCGCTTGCAGTGTCGGGTGATTGTAGGATGTATTATTCGCGCAGATATCTGCCACTAGCGGGCCAAAGTTTGCGAGCAAGGATTGTGGGCCATACAAAAGCTCGCACTCGCGGATGTGTGCAATGGCTTCAGTGAAATCATCCTCTGTAGTTCCTGCCATGAGATCCAGCTCATTTGCTTCTTCGGGCGCCGGAGTCGGCTCTTTTGTGGCACCCCTCTTGCGGCCTTTCTTGATAGGTGTAGGACCGACTGTAGATGCCATGGATTGCCGGGGCGTGGGTGCTGTCTTCTTTTCCTTTTCAGCCTTCCGCCGCTTGAACTCAAGCTCACAGAGTTCAAGGTGAACTATTTGCTTAATCGCGATATGACCCACGACGAATAGCAGCTGGGATAACGCAAGTGCTGAATTCTGCTTCTTCGTTGGTGTGTGCTCAACCGTAGGCGCATCTGGCATTTCCTCATCTTCATCTTTTGGCTCTGCAGCGCTTGAGCTTGATGTCGGCCGCGATTGGGGCTTTGTCTGTCCTGCAAACACACGTTTGGTGACTTTTCGAATGATGTCAGAGCAAAGAACATCTGGATGTTTGGAAAGTACATAGATGGCGCTGATGGCTTGCTCTGCTACACCATACCACTCTTTGCTGTCGGAAGCCATCTCTGCCATGGCAGCCAACCTAACCAGGACTGCGTGGTCGTTTGGGAGTTTTACCGTCTTTACAGGTGCATCGTTTGAGGCTTGCTTCCCTGGTGGTGGGCTCATGCGGCGTAAGGCTATACAAGTGTATCGAGCCAGGCCCAAGTCCCGTCTGCCGAGTTCGCCTAGGCCAATGCGAAGACAAGCTTCCATTTCTTGCACAACAATGTCTGGAGATGAGAGCGCAAGCATGCCTAAAACAATGATAGCCCCTCGACGTTGGTTCTTGGAGATGTCCTTTTTTTGGTAACCATAAATTTGCCACAGCTTCTGAATGACCAAACCATTAACCAGGCCTTGCTTCATCATAGTACTGAGAAGCTGCTCGAGAGAGGTGAGTTCGGCCGGCGTGGTGCCAAAAGTCAGACTGATCATGTTCTTTGAGATATAGTTGGCAACTGCGTTGTCATCGAATCCGGGTGGTGCATCGAAGAATAAGCCCTTGTAGCACTCAAGCAGATGAGTCTGAACACCTTTTCCTTCGTCGCTGTTGCCAGTGGTCCAGATCAAGCGCAACATCCTTCTAATACCAAGCTTCGCATTTGCAATCTTGTAGGCATCGATCGTGGTAAAGAAGTCCATGGCTTCTATGACTTCACTCTTGTTCTTGGATGATAGCAATTGAGTGACTACCTCAGCGGCGTCGTTGATCACTTCAATGAATTTGAGCGCTTCCAACAGGAACTTGCGCACAGCCTGGAATTTCTCAAGCTCTTGTGCAGTCGCCGCGTCTTTCTGGGCCTTTTCAACCGCAGCAGCTTTTTCTTCCTCGGTCAACTCAGAAGGATGCTTTGGCCCTACAACATCCATATTGTCGGCTTGTGTGGCATCTTGCAAGAGAGACTCATCTACAGTCTGATCGGCTGGAGCCCGTTCTCTTAGCTCTTCGGGAGGCTGCAAGGCGTTGATTTGGGCTTCACACTCATCCAGGCGCTGGGTCCAGTCTTTGGTCGACAATAAACCGCCGTCAAAGGCAGTAAATGGGTGGGTGGAGATGAGCTTTGCAAGCAATTTGACAGCATTACGACGGACGTTGCTGCTCTTGTCCTCAAGACTCCTTGCAGCCAACTCGGCAACCTTTTGTCTGCGCTTGGGATACTTTTGTTCCAGATCACAAAGCCTGACATAGACCTGCATTACCCGAGCACGGCAATAAGGGTTTATATCAAGGAACCGGTCCTCAAGCACATCGAAGAAGATGCGAATTTGAGCTTTGTGGTTCTCGCTGCGGTCGTCCTGGCTGAGCTTGCTAAGCATGGTGATCAGGTTTCCGCACACCTCGATGAGGGCACAGCGGAGGGTATAGGATTCGCTGTCCAATAGATTGGCGAGTAATGTCATTTGCCGAATGACAAGGTGTGGGGTAAGCTCGGATATTTTGGTAAGAAAGGTCGAGATTGATTTGGGCCCTTTCAGATCAGTGGAGCTAAATTCCTTGCTGCTGATGTCCTTTAGGACGTCTTCGGTGAGCTGCGGATAATCAAATGCATCTGCAAGGGTGAAGAGAAACTCGGCCATGGGTTCGGACAGGTGCTCAAAGTAAGTGAGACTCTGGTTGATGGACGTCTGCGCGGCTGCCATGGTCATTAGTATGGACTAGAAAAGAGACGTGGTGTACCTACTGTATGCGTGTCCATGTGATTTGACAGCAAAACATAATACTCTGAAGCAATGGTTTCGTATCACGTTGTTCTTCACTCTAGCCTCATTCTCCAAGATGTGGTATACCGGCTTTGTGAAGAGGCCGATGAAGGTGTCTCGCTCCGACGTGGTAACAAAGATGCGGCCCAGCTTGAGCCTCAGTACCTTGCTCATACGATCAAGGGCAGTCTCCAATTGTGCAGCAGCATCCCAGGTGGCTTCTTTGCCGCCTGTTGCTTTTGTCTTTGTGCCTTTACCCCGCCCCCTCGCTGCCGGCGCGGACGCTGACTTCTCAAGTGCTCTTGTCTCGAGGGCGGATATGGTCCATCGGAGGAGGAATCCATACATCTCCAGGATGTTCTTATGGTGGGGGATGGCATCTTGCTCTTCGGTTTCGAGGTCTGCATGGATGATATCGGCTTGTGTCGATAGTGCAGAGGATATTAGGTCAAGGATCTTGCTGAGTATGGCGGGTGGTATCTGCGACGAGTGTCTAGAGAGTCGCAACAGTTTACAGTTAGGTTCCGTGTCATATGTTTTGGCAAGCTTTGGATATGCAGGCACGCACTTCAAGAGAAATTGCAGTGTGTCAAATACAGAGCTGCGAGTAATGGCATCTGGACTCTCGGCCACGGCATCGACGACAGGATTCAGCTCACTGTTGATCAATCCGGGCGATGACAGCGACTCGGGCTCATCCTCACAGTCTTGCAGCGCCTGCGGGGCTTCGGGAGTGGGAATCGTGGAGGGATCGCTGTCGAACAGCTTAATCGCCTCGTTGATGTCAAAATCCACACGCGCGTCCATGGTGTGCAGACTCGCTAGGGCAAAGTTCAAGGATGAGAAACAAGAAGCGGGCTGTAAAGGAGCGTGGTGGGTATTTGTTTGCGCAAACCGCCTCTACAGTATTGCCGCATCTCGGGAAGGCGCGTTGCATGCATGTGTTTATTGGCCCGTGCGCGCTGTCATCAGTCTACCCCTTCTGGTCTAGTGATTGCCTAGGTCAACGCGTCTGTAACAATAAGCGCGAATTCACTACAACACCAGACATGATGGCGAAGGCACGAACATCGCTGCGGCACGCAGAGGCCATTGACGTACACGAGGACGAAATCAAGCAAGAGGAAGCCGAGTCGACACTGGATGAGAGTATGGATCCGCTCGACGAGAGCGGTCACACAGTCGACAGCAGCGAGGAGGAGGTGGAAGACTCTGTGCAAGAAGACATGGCACGCTTCGAGGAAACATTTGTCGGAATCAACAAGCGTTTCCGGCTGATTAATCGGATTGGAGAGGGTACGTCGTCTCACATGGTTGGTTTCCAACATGCAGGGTAGCGGGGGCTCACATGTTTACACAGGAACTTTCTCCACTGTTTACAAGGCCGAGGATCTGGAGTACAGCAAGTACAATAATGACTGGGACATGGACAAGCGGGAGATTCCAAAATGGGTGCCAGCTGCCCGCCGGAAGCAGTATGCCAGACAGCAACCCCACTATGTCGCGATTAAGAAAATCTACGTTACAAGCAGCCCAATACGCATCTTCAATGAGCTCGAGCTCCTCTACGACCTCCGGGACTCCGACTCGGTTTGTCCACTGATCACGGCCTTCCGCCATCTGGACCAAGTAGTCGCTGTACTGCCCTACTTTCAGCATCGCGACTTTCGGGACTACTACCGCGACATGACCATCGCCGACATGCGTCCCTACTTCAAGAGCTTGTTTACGGCGCTTGCAGCAGTGCATAGCAAAGGCATCATCCATCGTGACGTCAAGCCTACCAACTTCCTCTACAACACGTCGCAATCCCGTGGCGTCCTAGTCGATTTTGGCCTGGCGGAGCGCGAGGGCACAGACTGGCACAACTGTGCCTGCCGTATGTCAGAAGAAGACCGGCGCTATAGGATCTCACACAGTGTCTATGCGCAGACGCAATCGGCAGGCCACAACGCCTCTGCTTACCCCAAGAATGACACACGCAACAGCCGACGCGCCAACCGAGCGGGCACGCGTGGCTTCCGTGCGCCCGAAGTTCTCCTGAAGTGTACCCAACAGACTTGTTCCATCGACGTCTGGAGTGTTGGCGTCATTCTACTGACGATGCTTTCGCGCCGCTTCCCATTCTTCCACAGCGCAGACGACATCGACGCCCTGCTTGAAATCACAACCATCTTTGGACGAAAGAAGATGCGCGAAACCGCTCTTCTACACGGCCAGGTCTTCGAGACCAACGTGCCCAGCTACAGCGAAGGCGGTCACAGTCTGGAGAAGATCATCCTATGGTGCACAGGTCGAACGGGCGACAAGACACAGCCGAAGAGGGAGTTGGACGACGAGGAAAAGGAAGCTGTACAGTTTCTCTATCGACTCCTGGAATGCAACCCAGCAAAACGCATCACAGCTGCCGACGCTCTCGAGCACCCCTTCTTACTCAAGGCGTATGGCGAGGACAGTGAGATGGAGGAGGACTTGATGCCTGACGGCACGGAGGAATGAGGCGAGGGACGACATGACAGCACTCACGACGTATGAGTAATAGCATGGAAGGCGCAATACGGGTGTGAGCATAGTACAGGAGTTTTTGGCCATGTATCTTCTCGGCGCTTTGTCGAGTTACTGTGATACCCTCTCACACATTATCTCAGCGTCGATTGCACATGCCTATTGTTTGCAGTCTAGTTTAGCTTTGATAAGGTTTCTTATTCCACTTGTTAGATCAGCACCTAGGCCGTCTGCTTTCTCGCCTCCTTGGCCTTCTTCTCCGCCCGACCCTCGGCCTTTGTCTTCTTCCCCTGCTCCATCCGCCTCTCCTTGGCCGTCTTCTGCTGCCCCGCCTGCCCACCGTGCGCCTCGAGTCTCGCCTTCTCCTTGTCGGTATGCACCCTCATATTCTCCATAGCCTCCTCTAGTGTCGGTATCGTGAGCCCCTGCTTCCTCGCCTGCGCCAGTCTCTGTACGCTCGCCTGCCGACCGCGCTGTGCCGACCGCACATCTTTTAGCAGCCGGTCCTTTACACGCTGTTCTTCGATTTGCGCCTGGGAGAGGACGGGTGGCCGGTTCTCGACAGGCTCGCCAAAGGGCGCAACAATCGAGGTTACGACGTGCGAGATGGCCGTGCTGGTGCGGTAGCCGGATGTTATGCGAACAATGTCGCCCTCGACGAGCGAGTTGTTTGGGTCGCGCACGAGGTACGTTGTGGGTGCTGGAAAGTGCTGTGAACCGTATAAGTATCGGGCTGTTGTTTTGTTTTGTGGGCATGATATAATCTTGCAAGAGACGCACTTTTCGGAACTTTTTATTCCATTCTTGCCCTGCCACGCGCACTTTTACCGCCCGCGACATCTTCCCCGCCGACACTACCACGCCAACTTTCTGGCTGTGCAGGCATTGTGTGACAATTGGTGCTCCGGCTTTTGCTTTGGTGGCCAGGGACGCCATGGCGAGCGTGTGGTGTGGTGTGGTGTAGTGTGGTGTGGTGTAGTGTGGTGTACTATACTGTACAGTACTGTGCAGGAGCGTAGTCCAAGACAACAACTCAATGCGTCCTCTTACAGTATATCGTATGACGTAGCCGGTTTGCCGTTCGGCCTTGTTGCTGCCTCTCAATCAACTTAATTGACGCTCCGCGCTTGAGGCTCGTCTGCACGAAAAGTAGAAGACGGCAATGCCAAGCCTTAACTCCGATTGGCTGCATAATCTACGTTCCTGCTATCGTGTCCATAGTCGCGAACCTTGGAACTTCAGTCTTCCACATTTCAAGTCTCCCTCTTCCGTATCCACCCAGTTCCTTCCTTCTTAAGAGGTCGCTTGGCCTCATACTTTTTCTGCAAACTTCATGTAGACACGTGCCTTTTCACATTTGTAAATTCGGATTCACCTAAAATCCCGTCCACTCACTTCCGCAACTTCGACGTCGCCGTTGGCGCGACTGATAACCAGCATGCTCCCACGGATAGCCCTGTTCTTTGTGGTGGCCTGTTTAGCGCTCCTAGTCGTGGGTGCCGAAGATTATTACAAGGTATGTCAACCTCACTTTTATCTACCCATCTGTTCTGTGTTCAAATCTCAGGTCGAAATGTGTGAGCTGATTTGGGCGATTTAGTTACTTGGGCTCAAAAAAGACGCCTCGGAGCGCGAAATTAAAAAGGCCTATCGAACGCTTAGTAAAAAGTACCATCCCGACAAGAACCCGTACGTCCAACCAGCCAAAAGTATACCAATGTCTTCCTAATGCGCCGCAGTGGGGACGATGAAGCGGGGAAGAAGTTTGTCGAAGTAGCCGAAGCCTATGAGGTTCTGAGCGAAAAAGAGACCCGCAAGATCTACGACCAATACGGCCACGATGGCATCCAACAGCACAAGCAGGGCGGTGGACCTCGCCAACAACACGACCCCTTCGACCTCTTCTCGCGCTTCTTCGGTGGCTCAGGACACTTTGGACATCAGGGCGGAGAGCGACGAGGACCAAACATGGAAGTTAGGGTGGCCGTGCCCCTCCGCGACTTCTACAACGGCCGGAAAACTGAATTCACAATCGAGAAGCAAGCTATTTGCTCGGCCTGCGAGGGCTCGGGCTCAGAAGATGGACACGTAGAGACCTGTAGTACGTGTGGTGGACGTGGTGTACGTATACAACGCCAGCAGCTTGCACCGGGATTGTTCCAGCAAGTACAGGTCCACTGTGACCAATGTCACGGCAAAGGAAAGATGATCAAGAAGCCTTGCCCCGTCTGTGCCGGCAGTCGAGTCATCCGCGAGGCGGAGACACATAAACTCGAGATCGAAAAGGGCATGCCCAAAGGCGTGCGCATCACCTACGAGAACGAAGCGGACGAAAGTCCCGACTACGTCGCTGGCGACCTCATTGTACATCTCAGTGAATCAGAACCGGTACTGGGACAGCAAGAGCACGAACGTACCGACGGTACTTTCTTCAGGAGACGGGGCAAAGACCTCTTCTGGCGCGAAGTCCTTTCACTTCGAGAAGCCTGGTTGGGCGACTGGACGCGCAACATTACGCACCTCGACGGTCACATTGTCCAACTTTCTCGCAAACGGGGCGAAGTCGTACAACCCAATCACGTTGAAATTGTCAAGGAAGAGGGCATGCCAATATGGCATCAGCACCTCGAGAACAATGAGGGTCTGCAATTCGGCAACTTACATGTTGAGTACGTTGTTGTGCTACCAGATCAGATGGAAAAGGGTATGGAAAAGGACTTTTGGGGTGTATGGGAAAAGTACAGGAAGAAGGCGGGCGTTAGCATTGATGCTGAGCTTGGGAGGAGCTCGGAAGCAATCAAGATGCCAGAGCAGGACGAGCACGACGAGTTATAGGAGGCCTGCATAGACCGCTCATTCAGGGCTTGCAATTGCGAATGGATTGATATTCGCGAATACCCGGCTTAGACGATGACGCGGAGTTGGGGAGTCTGGAAGATATGGCATGGGTTTATAGTATTGCTTTAGTGGAATAGAATGCTACATCTATTGTGTTTTGGTTTAGTAACCCAGTAAATCCAGACTGAGTCTCACAAATATCGTATGATTGTTGCAGCAAGGGATTTGCAGCAAGCAGGGGTCAAAGTGGGGTAGTGCAGTTGGGTGCAAGAACGGGAGGGATTGATCTGTGTATGGCCAAAATCCTACATAGATGTGGGATGTGTTTCGCGGCAGTTGTTCTACTGCACTCGCGCCTGTACTTTCACACGAGCTGCGAGTGTTCAATAGATAGCGTACACCGTGTGTAGAAAGGTTGGATCCGGTGGCGTAAATCCCGAAGCGCCTACTTGCATTTGCACAGCCACGGCACACACAACAAAAGCAATCACCGGCTCGTGTTAGCAGTACCCACGTTAGCCCTCTTACGCACACTCACTTTGAAGGAAAAAGCTAGAAGTGAACTCAAGATTATGTCATCCAGGTCAACACGAGAGACAAGACTTATCTGGAACAAATATCGGTTTGTTTGGTGAAGGTTAGACCGAGCATTCTCGGGACAGCCGCTTGTACTCTAGCGCATCTGTCTTATTGGTGGGGCGTGTCTTAGCAGTGGTTACGCGTGGCGTGGCCGTGAGCAACTTGTCCCAAAAAGAACACGGCTTTTCCATGCCAGCTGCCTTCAGACGAGTCTCGTACTTTTGTGGCGTCCCGTAACATTCACCATAAGCTTCTGTGTTTACGATACCGGCTGTGAGGATAGATAACAACGGGCCGGTAGAACCCCAGCCGCGTCCGCTTGCACTACCCCTTTGCTCAACACTAAGTGTGCCGGCACTCGAATTTTGTTCCTGGGGCGAAATATCGGTTAAATGGGCTTGTCCGGAACATGGGGATATTTCCCCAGTGACTGTGGCGTGGGAGATTCGTCAGTTGGCCCAAACAGCCTGCACCCGGGTGTCATAAAATACTAGACATACCAGTGTAAAAAAACCACTGTAGCCGCCTGACACGTCTATTGGGTACTTACCCACTGTCCAGTATTTTACGGCACCCAGGTGCTTGCATGTGATAATCCTTGTGCGCTCACTCCCGGTTGCCATGTGTGTCTAAATAAATCCCGCAACTGCACGCCCCTGGCTAAACAAAGGCTCAGCTAACTACACGTGGGTAGAGAATGGCCTTCTCACGATAAGCACTAGACGGGTGCAGCCAACCAAAGATTTGCGCCGGCTACTGGTCAGGTCTGTTTACCAGATGTAATTGTCACAGCACACCATGCACCGCTTCGGGCAGAGATAACAAGGGCATGTATAAGTCGCTCGCTGAGCCAGTTGTGAACAAATCCATAGTACAGACTGCACCACCTACCTGGCATGGAGACTTCAATACAGTTTGCAGATGCAGACGCGCATCCAATACAGCTGCATCCCTCTTCGATTGGTGGTGTGTACCCTTTACGATCGCGGTCGCGCACGCGGCCGCCCAAGAGGTCGTCGGTCGAGGCGAAGATCAGCGAGCTGGAAGAGGCGGAAGACGAGGATGCGGGTCTGAGGGACGAGCGCGATTTCAAGCGCAGCCAGGTATGTTGCGCATAGTTGAGGGGTTTTTGTTTTGTTTTCTCAGTTCCACAACACTAAGTAGTCCACTGACAAATTGAATCGCAGGCATTTAGTCTGGGGCAGATCTTTGTCCTAGCCTACCAGTCCATCGGTGTCATCTACGGCGATATTGGCACTTCTCCGCTCTATGTATTTTCTTCTACGTTCACGGTAGCCCCTAGCCATGCTGATCTACTGGGCGCCTTGTCACTTGTCTTGTGGTCCATTACCTTGATGGTTACTATCAAGTACGTCTTGGTTATTCTGCACGCCGACAATGACGGCGAAGGTGGTACTTTTAGTACCTACTCACTGCTTTCTAAATATGTACGCCGCTCCAGTTCTACAATCACACGTGGTTGGCTTGCTCATCACTATGCATAGGCGAACATTGCCAATCGAGACCCTCGCGAAGCCACCCTTGTACGCATGCAGCGGCATAAAACTGAGGACTTGGGTCGCTCCACGAGGGGCATTCGATCTGCGATAGAAAAGTCAAAGTTCTTTCGTGGCTTGCTGCAGGTCATTGGTGTGCTATCTGTTTCCATGGTTATGGCCGATGGTGTCTTGACGCCAGCCCAGTCAGTGCTTGGTGCTGTTCAGGGTCTGAACGTTGTCAAGCCCGACATTGAAAAGTCGACTATCATCGGAGTGACATGCGCGATTCTGATCCTGCTATTTGTAGTACAGCCGTTTGGTATCACAAAGTTGACGGTTGTTTTTTCACCAATTGTTATCGTGTGGCTAGCTTTGAACGCTGGATTTGGTATCTACAACCTTTCAAAGTAAGTTCCCTATAATATTTCCAAAATACACTAGCTGACTAGTATAGTTACGATTATAAGATTCTTAAGGCGTTCAATCCCTATTATGCTTTCGACTATCTGATCCGCAACAAATACCATGGTTGGAGGAGTCTGGGGGGTATCCTTCTCGCCTTTACAGGTGTTGAGGCCCTCTTTGCCGATATTGGTGCTTTCAGTCGCCGCGCTGTGCAGATTAGCTGGCTTGGATACGCATATCCGTGTCTACTACTCGCCTATAGTGGTCAGGCTGCATACATCAGTGTTCATCCAGCGGCCTACGCCAATCCCTTCTACAACTGCGTTCCTCATGGCTGGCTCATCTTCTCGCTCGTCGTCGCCATTGCCGCCGCTATTGTGGCGTCACAAGCCATGATTACAGCAACCTTCCAGGTATGTTGCTTCAGTTTAGCTGCTAAATACACCAGCTGATCACTTATAGCTTCTGTCTCAAATCATGAAGCTCTCGTATTTCCCGCAGATCAAGGTCATTCACACTTCTACTACATACCACGGCCAGCTTTACATCCCCAGCATCAACTGGCTGCTCATGATCGGCACCGTACTCGTGGCTTCTATCTACAACAACACAACGTCACTGGGTAACGCATATGGCGTCTGCGTCATGTTTGTCACCTTCTTTGACACATGCATGGTCACCTTGGTAGCAATATTAGTCTGGCAAATCAAGCCCTACTTTGTACTGCTCCCCTGGCTCATCATCGCCTGTCTCGACGGTGCATACCTCTCTTCTGCTTTGATCAAAGTACCCGACGGCGCCTGGTTCACTATTCTCCTCGCCTGTCTCCTCGGCTCCATCTTCATCCTCTGGCGCTTCGGCAAAGAGCAACAATGGAGCGCCGAGGCTAGTGACCGCTTCCCAACCACCCATTTTGTCAAGACCCTACCCGACGGCCGCCTCACCCTCACCGAAAAATACGACTCTAAGCCCATCGGCACAATGGAAGGTTTCGGCATCTTCTTCGACAAAGCCGGCGAAACAACACCAATCGTCTTCTCCCAGTTCATCCGCAAACTCGTCACTGTTCCCGAGGTAATCGTCTTCTTCCACTTGCGGCCCCTCGAGGTCCCCTTTGTGGAACCAGAAAACCGATACTCGGTCTCCCGTCTCGCAGTCCCCCATTGTTACCGCCTTGTCGTCCGCCACGGCTACATGGACGAAGTCATAACGCCAGATTTGGCGTCGCTGATCTACGATAAAATTCATAACCACATCATTTCTCGCGCGCTTGATTGCGGAGGCGAAGCTGAGAAGGAATCATCTGCTCCTGACGCCGCCACTACTTCCATCGACACTAAAATCCCTATCCTAATGACTACAGCAACTCCTGGCACATGTACTCCCCACTCCCGCACCTCGACCTCAACAACATCCTCGCGCCTGGAAAAGCTCGAGCGAGCTTTCAACCGCGAGGTCCTGTATATCATTGGCAAAGAGCAGATGAAAGTAAAGCCAGGATCCAGCTTGATCAGAATGATGTTCTTGGAGGCATTTTTCTTCTTGAGGGAGAACAGTAGGGCCAAGATTGCTAGTTTGAGTGTTAGCATGGACAAGGTTATTGAAGTAGGGTTTGTCAAGGATGTGTAAGGGCTGAGTATGTTTGGCTCAAGGGCTCCTTAAACCAATTTTCTTATTCTGTTTCGTTGTGCTGATCGGGGGGTTGAAGTACAAAAGTGGTGTGTAAGTTCTATTGAGAGCGCATAATAGGGCTCATTTTACGACACTTATTTATCTACACCTATACTTTAGGCTATTTCAAAGGACGTACATAAATATTCATGGGGCTCTGACACTTAGTCTGTACTTTGTTTATGATATTGTATCCGCCTACGTAGTTTCTCCCACCTAGTATCAAAACATCACAACATTATGTTTTCTCCAATCTATGCCTCTTCCGCATACGACCATAGGACATCGACAATAGCGCTTCCCGTTCGCTCAGCGGTACTCAAGCGGTGTACCGGCGGACTAGTAGTCAGGTGGGTGACCACTGGCGAATCCCCGCTGTTGTATGTTTTTGATTTTTTTGTCTGTCTATTATCTATGTAGCTCTTTAAATTATGACTTTTTTTGCTACAGTAGGCTAACGTAAACACATTCCTAGTTACTTTTTTGTGAATGCCCACACAACCACAGCTATATAAAACATAATATTCAGTAGTGACAGTGTACGTAAGCCCTGCTATCGTATCTCTATCAAGTGTATTTGGCGTACGTACCCTGTGCATATTAGTGTGTGAAGTATTTCATGTCACCTAGGCGACGACAGTTCTGAGTCCCTTCAGCCCCGGACTGACTGCTTCCCTCGACCTTAAACTAAGACTCGCTGCTCTCTGTGCAAAAGCAACCACATCCTGTATCCTCCTGCCCTGACTTAGAGTATGTGCCAGCGCACCACAAAACGTATCGCCAATGCCATTGACACTGATGACTTCCTCAGGTTGCAGCACCTTCTCTACTGGAAACAGTCTCACATATAACCCACCCACGCCGCTTTCCGCATCCCCATTCATGTTCCTCGCCAGCACAAACTGTCTCTCTGTGTCATCCTGCAACGCGGGATCGTTGAACGGGAGAAGACGTGTCATCAATACGCCCTTGGGACCGAGTTTGGTCAGTATAGTAGGGAAGAAGGGGAGGAGTTTGATGGCTTGTTGAGGGGTACCGCGGTCAACGACGTCGGAACCGACGGTTAGGGCGAGGGGGACGCGGAGGCCGGTGGTCGGGATACCGAGGGCGTCGATGATGGTGAACCAGCTGGGCGTTGTGGAGAAGAAGTTTTTTTCCTCGGCATAGGTATGTAGGGCGGTGAGTTCGTGGATATTGGGTGTTGTTATGTGTGCGAGGGGGTGGGGGTAGACAGATGGACTGGGAGCTGTAGTGCTGGCGGGGGGGAAGATACGAAGGGCTTTTGCGGTGGAGACGGGCTCGAAAATTGTGGTGGTGTTCTTCTGGCGGGCGGATTGGAGCCAGATATGTAGGGCGGATGAGGACCAGTTTGCGTCTGCGACGAATACTTTAGGGCGGTGGAATGTGCTGTTGTTGAAAATGAGATTGGCGAGGTGGCTAGTAGTGGTATCGGGGATTGTTTCTAGGATTGACATGTCTGCCATTGCGAGTGCGAGGTCTTTGTTCGTGTTGTTAATGGCAACGTATTGCGCGGTTCGAGAGGGGCCAGGGAGCGTCTCGATGCCAGATACGGACATGCCTTCCTCTTGGAGCTGAGCGATTGCTGCACGGCCGCTTAGATCGTCTCCGACGGCGCTGTGAAGACGCACAGATGAGCCGAGTAGGTGTGCGGCTTTGGCAATGTTATGTGCAACGCCTCCAAGAGTTTGCGTGATTACTGCTGGGTTGGACGTATGCGGCAGTGGATCGGTGTTGCTAGCAGAAGCAGACAAGGGGGCATAGTCACACGAAAAGTCAACTGCAAGGGCGCCTGCTACCACAATATCGGCATGTTGTTTGGTCTCAGACGCAGGCGTAAAATTAGTAGCGGGAGTAGAAGGAAGAGGTTCAGAGGGCGATAGAGATGCATTACGTAACCGGTCTTCGGCTGTAGCCGCAGGACTGGACTGAAGGGGAGTGAATGAAAAGGCAGTTTGTCTAATATACTTACATCAGTGCCAGTTCTACTATCAAGCAACAAGAGTGGCTGGCTCACCCTTGGGCGTCTTCCTGCTTCGCTTCTAGGATTGCAAGCTCTCGTGCTATAATGGTTGCCCGTTTGACGTTTGATTCTATGAGTCCTCGGTTGGCGGGGATGCTCTTGCCATTGGTGAGCTCTTTGATCTTAGCTAGGACAAAGGGCGTGATATCTTTGCCGGAGATGTGGGAGGCATCAGCTTGTCGTAAGGCATCTGCGATAATCACATCCATTTCTTCCTTGGGTATAGCAAACTCGGTTGGAATTGGATTGGCGAAGAGTAGGCCGGAGGTGATTTGTAGTGTGTGCTGAGCATCTGTAGAGCGTTAGAAGTTAGCTCCTTCAAGCAGATTGGAGTCTTGGATCAGATTGAATTCTTCAACTAGACTGAAGACTTACAGATGATAGCAGCAGCTTCAATCTCGTCCGCGATGGTAGTCGGACTCCTGACGCCACTGTCACGCGACCAAAAAGCAGGAAAGTCCACATTTCCCGGACGTCCGTCGGCAAAAGTGCTGATACCAACTCCCTCGGTCTCAAGATACTCTATAGTTTTGGGGATATCGAGGAAGCTCTTGCACCCTGCCGCCACCACTGCTACTGCGGTGCGAGATAACTCAGTAAGGTCGCATGAGATGTCCATGGTTGACTCTGCTCCGCGATGGACGCCACCAAGACCACCGGTGCCGAAAATTTTGATTCCAGCCAGATGGGCTAGCAGCATGGTACCGGAGACGGTGGTGCCTCCATTGAAGGACTTGTCGGTCAATCGCATGCCGCACACGTAGCCAAGGTCACGTCTGGAAAGCTTCAGGGTAGTGGATTGACCAGCGGCAGAAGCCAGTCTTATGAGCTCTTCTGGGTCCATGCCTACACGTGCTACACCATCCAAGACGCCAATGGTGGCCGGAATACCACCATTGGCTCGGACTACGCTCTCGAGAAGGGATGCGAGGGCTACGTTCTCGGGATAGGGGAAGCCTGTGGGACGATTATATATGCGTTCCCTTTAGGGATTGGGCTGTGCATGCCTACCATGCGTGTAGATGGTCGTCTCCAGCGCGACAACGGGCTTCTTCGAATGCAGAGCTTCGCGCACCTCTTCCGAGACGCGGAAGAAGCCATTGTTGGTTAGATGACGCCTCCCCAAAGACGTCGCTATGGCAGCAGACGCCGTAGGAATGCGCGGTCTTCCAGTTGATTTTGCTAGCAGTCTCATGTTAATATGCGCGAGTGACGTTTGTAGTGCAGCCGTGGAGGGGCTGAAGCTTGAGCTGTGGACGCACAGACGCACAGACGCGGAGGTGCCAGCAACTCCGAAGAGAACACGACGCAATTGACAGCCGTGTACTCAGCAATCGACCTTCACACTCACCCAGGCCATTCTCGTCGTCTCGTCCAACACCGACCTCTTACATGACTGGATAGCTTGGCTGCTATTCACAATGAGGTCCTTCTCCCTCGTAAGCTGCATAGCAGCACTATCAAGTCTCGGGTGCGCCGAACTGAACCTCTCGCAACCGCTGCTATCCAAGCAAGTGCTCCCCACCACTTTCACGCCGCCCCAGGTGTTCAAGAATACCAATCTGGTCCGGACCACCAATTTGGACAAGGCGTATCCGCGCGAAACCATCAATGTCATAATCGAGAACATTGATACCAAGCCGCAGTCGGAATACTATCTGCCTTTTGACTCGAGCCTGCTGGCCAAGGTTGGAGGTCTGGAAGTGAGGGATAAGAAGGCAGTCGACAAGGGCATCTTCAAGGTCGAAGTTGTTGGCTTTGATGCAGAAAGGTAGGCTTCAATGGTGCAATTGGGGCAAGCCCGTCTGACATGTCATGTCCAGCTCTGTTGAATACTACAAGATTCATCTCCCCGAAGCGCTTGCACCCAAGGCCCAACGGACCATCAGCATCTCCTACTCCATCCTCTCGGCACTCCAGCCAGTTCCCGCGACAATTGCACAGACGGACAAGCAGTACCTGCAGTACACCTTCAGCGCATACACCCCCTCGGCCTACGTGACCGAGAAGCAGCGAACCAAGGTCAAGTTTCCCAACACCGATATCCCGGACTACACGACCCTTCCCGCCGAGCTCAATGAAGAGCAAAAGGCCGACCCCCAGAAACAGGGTTCAACCTTCACATACGGCCTCTACAATAACGTGCCCGCCGGCGCCCAGCAGCCCGTGAGCGTGCGCTACGACTTTACCAAACCCGTTACTCATGCCACACTTTTGGAGCGCGACATTGAAGTCTCGCACTGGGGCGGCAACTTGGCCTCTGAAGAGCGGTACTGGCTCGTGAACCAGGGTGCAGGCCTCAAAAATCACTTCTCGCGCGTCGAGTGGCAGAGACAAAGCTACCTGAACCCACCCACGTCTGCGCTCAAGGGCCTGGTCATGCCACTTGCCCCCGGCGCAGTAGATCCATACTTTACCGACGACATTGGCAATGTTTCGACATCCAAGTTCCGTCCTGGCAGCAAGGAAGCTCTGTTGGAACTGAAGCCCCGATATCCCATCTTTGGAACCTGGAAGTACAGCTTCCGCGTGGGCTGGAACGCCGACTTGTCCTCTTACCTCCGCAAGCTCGCAACTGGCGAGACATATGTGCTCAAAGTACCCTTCCTCGAGGGCCCCCGCTCTGGAGAAGGCATCTCATACGCTCGCGTCAACCTACGCGTTATCCTCCCCGAGGGCGCAAAGAATGTCAAATTCTCCACCACAGTCCCAATCGTGAGCAATGAGACGACGCTTCACAAGACCTTCATGGACACTCTTGGCCGCACTACCTTGACCTTGACGGCCATCAACTTGGTAGACGAGTTCAGAGACCGCGACTTGATCGTGACGTACGATTACCCCTGGACGGCGGGATACAGGAAGCCGGTTGTGATCACGCTAGGCATGTTCGCCGTCTTCGCTGCTACGTGGGTTTTGGGAAGTATCGACATGAGCATTGGGAAGAAGAAGGTTGCGTAGAAAAGGACGGAAAGAGAGGAGAAAGGAAGTGTATGACTAGGCTAGTGAGGTTATCGAGACGAACAAAAGTTTCTTGTAACCGTGACTGGGTTTCCTTTGGCGCTCTGGAAAGAAGACTATCTTGCATCCAATATAGTGGTGTTTTACCCGTAATGTAAGAAACAATGAACATCTGATTTTTTTTATCTTACATCCTCGCATGCAGAATCTAGGGTATCACGCATGGTAGTGGTTTCTACCTACAGGAGTGCTCCGTCTCTCTCCTCTCTAGCTCTTTTGAGTTCTAGCAACACGCCAATCGCCTATCCTCAAATGTAAAATGGAAGCCATAGGTAGAATGAAAGCACCTCCCAACTCTCCTAGTGACCTAGAAAGGATCACCCCTCCCCTTGACACGATGCACATGGCGACAAACAACCCTAACACCCTCCTCGCATCCCGCCCTTCTCACCTCACTCTTCACACACTGGGCTATCCTCTCCGCAATCGCTACACTACGATGTGTACCAGCGTGACAACAAACACTTAGACAGACCTCCATGCCCCCACCTTCCCCTCGCCTTCCCCGTCCCCTCCTTTCTCCAAACGCCAACAACGTCTCCACCGCCTCCCTCGCCGCTTTCCGCGCTGCAGGATCTTGCATCACAACATCTTGTATCAGAGGCGAGATACCAGAGTATGTGGCGCAGAGGGAGGGGTTGGGCGGTTGCATGGTGCGAGCGTCGATGGTATAGAGGTGTGGGATGGGCGGTGTGCGGGCTGGGACTTGGGAGGCAAGAAGAGTTGAGATGGATATTTCACTACTAGGGCTAGGCAGGACAGAGGTACCGTAGGTTATTATATAGACGGTTGGGTAGGTGGGGAGGGGGGATTGGTTCAGGAAAGGGGGACGAGTGGAGAGGGAGGGGTAGAGGGGCTGGGAGGAGGTGGTGGCGGTATAGTGGTGGGAACGATGGGCGTCGTATTCGTAGGTGTTGTAGGAGGATGTGGTTGTGTAGTCATTTCTGTAGTCTTGTTTATACATTTCTTCGTCGTAGCGGCGTGATGACGAGAAGTGAGGTGGTGGTGTTGGACGGACCGGAGGGCGGTATGGGGGTTCTTTGTAGGTATCTCTTTCTCTTTGACGGTCTCGCTCCCGTTCTTGATCCCTTTGCCAAATTCTATCTCTGTCTCTATCACACTCTCTTTCTCGTTCTCGCCCCTTTTGCCGTACTCGTTCCTTCTCTTGCTCCCGCTCCTCAGCTGCTATGCGCGCCGTTCGACTGGCACTTTGGTGCAGCGCGGCAGGTGGGAGGTCAAAGTGAACGCGTCGTTCCGCCGTTTTCTTGAGGCTGCTCTTGCGAGGGGGAAGTGATGTTTCGCGTTCACGTTCGGACTGTTGTTTTGTCTGTGGTTGCTGCGTCTGTACTGGTCTTACGTGCCTCCAAGACGGCGTTTGTACAGGCCGGTAACACGTGGCTTGAGTTGAATATGGTGCTTTGTAGTGAGAGCTCTGGCGTTGTTGGGGTTCGGTATGGTAGGGCCTGAGCATGTACGTTGTATCGTATGAGCGCGCTGTCAGGTGGTGAGGATAAGGTAGAGGGTCGAGGTATGTGGAGTGACGGGGACGCTGTGGATGAGGTGTAGGAGCAGGTGCATAGGTGTAGCGGTACATGGTTGCTACTTCCTCATTCTCATTTTCTCTCCGTCTTTTCTCACATTATTCTATCCCTATTTGCGGGACTCGTTGTGCATACGCTTGCAGGCACTTGATAAAGTGCAGATATCGATGTAGTGCAGTGTATCTACTGAAAGATTCATATTTTCTTCGCATAACTTCATGGTCGCACGGTGATTGTGAGCAAGCCGATAGGCAGTCAAGGCTTCTAGAGTCACTGTTGTACAAGAGGACATGGCGCCGTTGCATCCGTACACGGCCATATGTTGGACGTGGATCGTGCATGTTGAGGCTAACAAAGCAAAAGCTAGGTTGATATTCTAGGCAGATGCAGAAGATCCAGAGGAGTAAAAAGAAGAGTTGACAGCATTGAGGGAACGAGGTAATTGTGTTAGGGTAGTGACGACTGGTGAGACGGGGCAAGTGGCATGGTGAAGCTGAAGAGAACAACAAAACCTTTCCACAGCAAGAGCGCTCTCTTGTTCAGAAATCGTCTTCTGTATCGATAACTTTGCCTTTGTTTTATTGCGCACCCGTGCAAGCATCGCTAGTGGTTGGTAGCCTAGGTGAGTCGTTGATTTCACGTGAGTTGCTGACTAGCATTGATGAATTTCTACCTATTCACTGAGTCTCAACGTGCTGACTAAGTTCGGGTACCGGATGTTCTTGAATATCATGTCCATGGCGATAACAGAATTCATACATGACAACATCACCTGAGCTCAGTCATGTCTTCCGACGCGCGTCGCAATGGACCGTCTCCGGATCTTCGTCAAACTCGCAGCTGCAAGACATATTGCATGCCATAGTATGAGTCAACAATACGACTTGATCGCAGTTATGCCTCCGAGGTATGAACCGGGTCGTGATCTTCGTCCGTCTTCTCGGTTGCGTTGGGCGTCAATCAAGCAATACATAGGTTTGATGGCTTTCCATGGCATGATGGCTTTTACTAGCATGCGTTTCGTGGCTCTCGATAGCTTGACAATGTCTTCCGTGCCTTGTTCGCGAGTGTCCGAGAGCACTGTATGCGACATGGCAATTGGGCCGAAAGCGAGAGCGGATCCGTTGAGGCCTTCGGTACGTTGGGCAGCTAAATCCGTGCCACTTTCTCTGCCGGTACATGAAGTCGCTGACCGCTTCATAGACTCTTCAGCCCCCTGTTCACGCAGGCGGTCCACATGGTCCATTCTTAGGCACGGGCGAGCAGTTGTCCCTGTTGCTCTAGCTCGTTGGAACTCGGTGCGAGCGCCTTGGTGGAGTCAACGTCTAATGCCCGTCATCACGATAGCCCCACAAACACGCCGCGCGCCTCTGCAGTTCCCACAATTTTGGCGTCTCACTCTCTGTGGGGACTGCACAGTTGTTGGCATTTGACACACAGGTATCTTGTGGGTCAAGGAGCCGACGACCAGCCATGATCTGACATTGAAGGACCGATGATGAAGCCAGCCTCCTGTATCCCCAGTCCGAGAAGGGCATGCCGGGCTCGCGGACTTGAGGTGCGGACATGAGCGAACACCTGGACCAGTGGTTGGGAAATCAGATAACGCAACAATAGACAAGGACATGTTTGATAGACACGACCCAGACGTGGTACATGTCTTGCCCTCGGAATAAGCCCGACTCGTTGCCGGAAGAACCGAACTTTGACCGTTCGGCAGGAATTTCGATGCTGCCTTGGCCTCTATTGCGACAGCTGCAAGAAAATGGTGACTGGAATCCGGTGTTTCAAGCGAATAGCCATGGCGAAGGTCAAAGATGCCAAGGCTGAACACGACGCAGATGTAGAGGCGCGGTTGAGGATCGGAACCGCATCCAAAATTGGAAATGCACCAAAGGACGCGTAGAGAACACGTTGCGGGCTTGGACAACCGCATCCACCCGCACACAACAAGATACGTTTCAACATAGGGATCAGCCGTGGCGCCACGGATACCATGCCAAGCGACGCATGCCCCAGCCGCTCCCCAACATGGACGGTAAAAGCTACTCCAAAAAGGTTCCAGAAATATCTCCTACTTGGGTGCGATGTCATGCACGCGGGCAGTCACAGATAAGATATCGGAGACAAAAGGGCCTTTGGTGCTGCAGGTCAATACACACGGTACACACTTGCATCTAGGCTGAGACCAAGGTTAGAAAAGGTGGATTATGCGCATCTTGCATGTTGCAAAGCAATGTGCCGTTGTGGGGCCCAACATCTACCACCACAATCTCGGCTGCAGCTGCAGCCTACCCTGCGGGAAGTGCCTCTAGCCGATGCGACGCCTGTCTGATCGGTGAGGGACCAAACGTTCGATTGGCGAAGATGGGGGTAAAACCAAAGGCACAGCACAGGTTTTTCATGTTGTTTTTTTGTGGCCAAGGTTGTGACTGCACACGATACATGGTGGAAAGGGCAAAGGGCGGGGATGCACGGCCTAGATGGCGGGCTGATGAGGTCGTCTGGCTGGCGGTGACGACTCCGATGGTTCGTACGCCTCATTTCCGTGGTAATATCCAAGTCGATGCATTTACCCTCTGTTTCGGTCATGAGCGCGTCAGGACGTCGCTACATGTTGTATATCGCTATTGCTATCGAAGGTCAGTGCAGACTGCAGCTGTCAATAAAACATGGTCATGTGGGGTGCATAGGGCTGCGGCGTCCCGCACTGATCTCACCAACAGTTCTCAGACGTGATTTCATATACACGATGACTTTCAGGGCCGTGAGTCGTTACAGTAAGTACAGTATTATCCGAGGAAGAAGATCAGGGTAGTTGGTCAACGGCCGAGGGTCTTCGCTATGTTGAACATGGTTGCTATTGCATCTCTACAGCTCGTATATTCGCGAACATAGCCAAAAGCAAACGAGCCAAGGACGGGTTCGATGAGTCGATGACGCTTTCGTTTCCAACATGTATGTACAGTGGCCCTGCGTGACGGCGGCTGCATCGACAATCGATAAATCAAGCGTCGCGATGTCCAACGAGTTACATTGTCAGCTTGCATCGCATTGCGACATCAGCGATGATCCCAAAAGGGACAGTTATGACACAGATATTGATCTACACACCGTGTCCGAAGGTTTGAAGTTGCCGAAGCAAAGCGAGCGCCGCAACCTTATCCCGGTACGCAAGACGGAGATCAGCAACTCGGAGACTTGTCCGCATCCTCTGTCCTTGCAGGCTTTTTTTTTGGGTCTCCCAAGGCGACGGACGCGAATCGTCGCTGCCTAACGTCCGCCTTACCATACCCTGGGCCTTCGGAATCGAGGCGCGGTACATGCCATGGCATTGCCGCGAGAGAGATGCGAAGGGGCATGAAATCGAATACGATGTGAAACAGGGTCCAACCGGTTTCAATCCCCATCCAGGCTCTTTGTTCCGTGATGAAATTAGCAATGATCGCTAGGCGAACCCCCGTGGGCAGAGATTTGGAGGTGAGCAGGTTGTTGGAGACGCAGGTCCCTGCCCTATGCAGATACGCGACCCCAAAAGCCCCCCCAAAAAGATCGACACACGGACACCAACTCCACGACATGGTTGCAGTCGGAAGAATACAGGCGGGTGGATTTGCAACGCTCAAAAACTCTAATTTGATGCTTTCATGTAGGGCCAGGTTAGTTGCAAATCAGCACATTACGCAGCATACTTAGTTATGTATAGTGCCAGAGACGTCGGCATTTGCCTTGGCAGCTTTTTCCTTCACCGCCGTCCGCTTGTGGTGTCAGTTTCCGCTCTGCGTCCACCGACGTCCCGAGGTTAGACGCGACGTCAGACTCGCGTCTAAGTAAGCGATGGAACAGCCCTTGCAAGATAGCTTCAGGGTCCAAACTATGTATTCACCGGACCGGCACCCTCCGTTGATAGTACCGGCGAAAGACCGGCCGACCGAAGGCGTCAGGAACCAGTTGGCTTTGAACAACCGAATCTGACTTTCACCCATGCAAGATCTTCATGCCCAGCTGAGCACTAGTGCGGGTTTGGCTACCGCTTCTGGCAAGTCACCGTCGCTGCGTTTACGAGACGGACCCAAGGTTACGCTTTACTAGGCGCCGGTATACCGCATGTCTCGGCCGTCATATATGCGGTGTGTGTGTGAAGCTTGTAAAACTATCATGCACCAATTTGCTAATACAATGAACAATCTGCCCAAGGAAACCATTCTGGCCAAATTTTCTTGCACCGCCGGAATTCCCTCCGAGATTGTATGTGAGATTATCGCGCCATGTCATGTACAGACCTGAAGTTGGGTCTCGGACATGTCAAGTAAGAGGCACATGACCAAACGATTGCGACAAGGGTCTACCGGTAACAATCAAATCTGACGGCCGTAAGCCTCGCCGTGTTTTGCTTTTTTCTGCACTTTCCAGCCAAAAAAACATCTTGCACGTGGTCAAGCAAGGTTAATTGCGCACATTAGCATAGCCACAATCTGTCTCTCTCTCTCGTGCAGAAAGAGGCGCTTAAACCGAAGAAAAAAGGAACAAGATCAAAGCAACATGGATGGATAAGATGAAAGGGCATTTTTGCTTTGGTCACTAACAAGTACTGTTCCTACCATGCAGGTTTTGATGTTGCGCATTACCGTAATGTCTGTCCTGCAATAGAGGGGTGCCTAGTCTACCGATCATGAACTTGTGGTTTCATATTAGACTAACCATAAGATATCCCTTCAAGCCACAAACGCCCCTACAGAAGCCCTGTTCTTTGCTTCTTTTGATAGCAAGGAAAGACTACTGATAGTGCATAGCGCATGTTGCGGCAATTGTCAGTGTCGGTCGTCAGTGTCGGTCTTCAGTAGTTGTTCGTGACTCTGACTTGCAGATCTCGCTATACGATATACGAGAAATCCTTCCGTGAACTGAGTCAAGTCAAGATATCGGAAACTTATTCCTGGCCTATAGCAAAACAGCCACGTATAGATTGAACGAACAACTCAAATATCTAAATAAAAACGGCACCAGCCGACTTATCTTGCAGCTGCTGTTATTGCCACCAATTGTGGCGTCGAATGGACATAACTCTCGGGAAGTATACAACAATACCGTAGTCTGTGTAATTCCAAACCCCAAAAAGTTACAACCTATATCCCGTCTTCTTTTTTTTTTCACCGATGGGATGAGTAATTATCCGCCCCGTCAACCCACATGTCGATTTTGCAGCCAAAACGCTTCACTCGCACATCCCACCACAGCCGAACAGAACACACAGCAACCGTGCAGCCGGGGGGCCTAGTTAGAAACCGCGACGCCAGACCTGCCTCCCCGCGTCCTCCATCCCCCCATCCCCCATGCTCTCCGCGCATCCGCGCATCCGCCCAAACCCGGGTTGCACGTCCTTTCGCACGAGCGTTCAACGGCTCGAGGCGATCGATGGCTAGAGAAAGCCGCGTCGCTCTCTCTCCCTCTCCCTCTCCACGATACGGGGATCACGGATAGATTGAGTTCCATTATCTCGGCCGCAGCCTGTTCATTATGAACACGAGAGTATTTGGAAACACGCCACTGTACGGTAAGCATAGAATGTTATTGTTAAAGCGCGTGAGTGAGTATTAGCCAGGGTTTGAAGCCGAGAATATGGCCGCTTTCGGAGGAGGTTTGTGAGGGACAGGGACAGGGCAATACTAAGCAACGACGCGCAGCAAGGGTAAAACTTGTTAACCGCTATAAGGGTGTTTGTTGCGAGAAATATCGGGCGGTTTGGAGGGCAAGACCGATGCATGCAAAGGATGCCACATGCAGGATTACAAGTGAGTGAGGGGACGGACCTGGAACGAAAAAACAATTCCAAATGGTGGCGTCGGCTTAGCTCATGATTGGTGTTGGCGAAAGGGGACGGGATGCTTTTTTTGGATGCCGGCGTTTATGTTAGTGTTAGATGCAAGTGTGGGTGAACGAACGAACGAACGGGTCTTTGCGTGTGGTGGTAGAAAAGAAACGTTGTCATTCATCGGTAGACTGTAGGACTGTAGGGTAACTAAAAGCAAGGGTTGTAGCGAGCAAGACTTTGTGCATGACAAGAACAAGGGAACGGTTTTCTTCGCGAGCGGCCAATTGCGAAGGCGTGTGTACACCCACGAGTCGCAATATAGTAAAGGATGTGCGAGACTATCTTTTCGTCGTGGGTTGTGCAAGTGCAAAGGCTCAAGCATAGAGAAAGACGTGACGATAGGAGCTACCTAAATAGGACTAGAGAGACCCCGCCGTGGCTGGACTTGAGGTAAAAGCCAGGAAAATGAACGACTCGCGACTCACTCTCTATGCACATGACAGCGATACACACCAAGCCGGTCGAATAAACCAGGCTTGCAGCCAATCAGCCAGCCCAGCCCCCAAACCCACATACACGCGCCTTATTAGTTTGATCGGTGAGAACGCATGTTGTTCCCAAAGAGCAGTAGGCATCATCATGTAGCCGTCAACGCACCATTATGCCTATGACAATGCCCTGTTCTTGCAAAACAAGTGCCAAAACGAATGAAAAGAACAACAAGGATGAGGAGAGATGGCTATTCAACTTTGCAGGTTTCCGACCCAGGCTAAGCAACGAATTGAAACCACATGTGCTGTAAGATGATGAAGAAAATATAATAACAGCGCTAGCCGCCCAATGATATTTGTTGCATGTATACGTGCGAACGGGAGGTATAAATCCTTCCTCCCCTTATATCCTCCACTGAGCAAGAGTCCCCTAAAGAGACCAGACAATAAGCAGGCTACAGAGAAACATTGTTCCCATCTTGCAATGGAAGTAATATAGATATTTGGCAAAGCTGGCAACGCGACAGGTACGGTAAAATGGGAGGTTCAGATTGTGGGGAATAGAGGACTTGATGATCTCGCTTTGTTGCCAAGCAGCAGCGCGCGTGCATGAAAAGCAAAAAGGGGAGATACAAGAAAATGGAATAGGAAAGGAAGAAGTAAAAATGTTAAAATAAAAGCGATAACAATGCGTTGCGCCGGGATAACATATGCAAGTCATCAATGCACGATCGAAATCGCAGAACGATCCGGATCGACCCAAGGGCGGGAATCAAGATGGCAATGGAGATCGATGGTGTGTATGTGTGGAGCCCCAAGCATATGCACCTTGATCTCTGTGGGACCCAGGACTAGGGGTCCCCCTCCTTTCCCCATCATGGCCACATCCTTTTTTTGCTTTTCAGTCGTGACATCATTCGAGACCCTGTTGCTGCTGGACGTTGCGGAGAATCTCAAGATCCATGCGGAGAATCGGCGAGTTGGGCGCTACATCGCTGATGACGGATATGGTGCGCTTGAACAGGGCCGAGAGGGTGGCTTTTGTGAGCCATGTGTCGGCAGGCAAGAGAGGGTAGAGTTTGGATTTGTAGACGGATGCTAGGACAAGCATGTTCCCAAATTGTCTAAATTGGCATGTTAGCAAAAAGGCGTGTATGCAACGAGTATTGTAACTTACGCATGAAGTGTGCCGAAGATGTTTGTGACAACGAGTCGCTTCTTGCGCGTGGGCGTAAAGTAGTTGTATGTACTGCCGGGCTCCTCGCCGACGCGATCAAAAGCAATGGTACTCTGGATAGCGCTATGGATGCATTTACAGGCGACGCCGATGATCTTCTTCTGGTCTTCGTTGAGTTCGACCATTTGGACATTTCTGTTGGTGGCAGAGTGTGCGTAGGCAGACGGCGAGTTGTGCTGCGAGGCACCGGTAGTACCCGGAGGTGGGGGTGGGAACTCTAACACATGGCTCGCAAGCTTCAGGTACGGCCGCAACATCATGTAGAGACCACCATAGTACTTTGCGCGCACACGCGCAATGTTGAGATCTGTCGAAGGAGGCTCGTGATCATCCCAGGCGAGCTCTGGTGAAAGAAGTCTCCTCCAGTTCTCCAAAACGCCCACGTGGGTTTCTGCGTGGTATGCGACTTCCTTAACGCTAGTGGGGTCGAAGCTCATGCGACCGCTGGGTCCGTACAAGGCGTTGTGCGCTACGTTGAGAATAACACGAAGGAATGTTTGCGTAGAGTAAAGCTTCATCATCAAATCATTTCTCGGACCAGCGCCTGCGTCTTCTTGTTGCATGAAGTTGTCCGGATCCTGTGGCCAGGTTTCGTTTACGCCTTCGGGATACATAATGGCACTCTGGTGTGCGGAAATGCCGGACGGTGGTAGCGTGCTCATTTCTGCCAGGATGTCACTGCAAACAGATGTTAGCAATAGGTCAAGGTAGTTGGTTATAATCAGCAAACTCACGATTCCAGCTGCAAAGCTGTCCAATAGACACACATGACGAGATTCAGTCTATACCGCTCCTTACGACTCCAGGTATGTCTTCGGTCACTGTTCGTACGGAGAAGCTTGGTGTAGTCGGCCTTGATGAGCACCAGAGCGATCCTGCAGGCGTTGTTGATCCAACTCCAACTCTCCAGGACTCTTGCGTACTGACTCAGATACAGGCCAGCGAGTAGCATGGCTTGCGCATGGGCAGTCGTATTTCCTCCTTGTTGATTGCCAAGTATATCAGTCGCATAGGCATAGTACGCCATACCTGGTAGTATGTCGATATTCCTCGGACGGCTGTCTTCAGCTCCTTCACTAGCGAAACTTCCATTGGGGTTCGGTGAATTCCGTATGTAGCCCCATTCGCTGTGAACATAGGGACTCCGGTCGTTTTGCGGAGCAGGCAGTGGGTCTGTGTAGGAGGCTACCTTGCCAAGAGCCATGACCAAGAGAACAATGGCGTTACGCAGTGACCTTTCGATATCGACTCTAGGCGATGGCAAGCCATCCAGACCGCTGGCCGAACGCTTGCGCTTGATGCCTGGGTTGAGCTGATGCACACCATTAGTAGCAGGCGATCGCACGTTGGCAGTGCGCGCTTCTGGGCTGTACTGGTCGCTAAACTCCCTGAACATGCGTTTCAGCTTGCCCTCGTTCATAAAGGGATGAAAAATGTGCATGCTCTCCATGTACGACTTGAGCAAGTCAAACATGACATGGCGGCGAAAGTCGGGCCGACCGTCCGGACCAAGTCCGCTCTGGTGAAACTGTGGAGGGTGTTCACGAGGAGTGCTACTCGGCTCTGATGGGCTGCAGTGGTCCAGGTTCGGGTATCCCCATAGGCCGTCCTTGCCTGGCGCTGGGGAAGTTGCTTCCGAATCATTGCTGCTCTCGGGGCTACCGGGACCTTGCGCTCCGTCGTTCAGATCTTGGCCTTCTCCAACGCCCCAGACGCGTAGTAGTCCGCGATCTTGCTCTAGCTGCATTGGGTAATCCGAGACTTTTTGGCCGTTATCTAACAGGCGCTTCAGATAGGGAATGCCGTTGTAGAAGATATTCATCTGTGCCCACTCCTCGAGCAGCTTGTGCGCTGGAGTAGTGTGATCGCCTTGAAGACCGTCCTTTTCCTTGGGATCTTTAGTGGCGGGTTCGGGATGGCTGGGCTCGGTCCTCACACTGTCTGCAGGCGTTGCAGGCGTTTGGGGAGGCGGATACTGTGACTCCTGTTTGATGGCGCTCATAGGTGACATGACATTGGAGTGGGGAACAACTGGAGATTCCATCTTGAGCTGGCTGTTGGCTCGACCCATCTGGCCTCTTCCTGGCATGGTGGGCCATCTTGATGTGTTTTGGTCCCTTTGAGCGGAGAAGGCAGCTTCGGGCGAAGCGTGATTCGAAATCATCTCATGGTTCCGCGTTGGCGGCAGTCTGCTCTCAACGCCCTGTTTCCAGTTGTTGAATTGGTCCACGAATTGTGATAGAACCTCAGATATGTTGTTGACGCTGTCTTGGAGCTGCATCATGCTTCTATCTTGCCTAAGGGGGCGTCAGCGATGGACCAAATGTGGGATGGGAGCGACGCACTTGGGTGGCGGTACATCCTTGTACTGGCAGTCGAAGTTGTTCTCTCTGCAGAACTGGCACGGCCGGGCTTCGTCACATTTCTGCTTTCGCGAGCGGCAATGGTTGCAAGCCTGGGTGGCGCGAACCTGTTTTCTCCGTATCTGCTGGGCGGCTCCATAGTCTGTCATGTAGGGAGTTTGGGCATATGGAGTCACTGGCTGGCCGTACTGCTGGACTGGTGGCGGGGCCTGGGCATGGTACGGCTGTCCATTGGCGTGGGAGGGACTGATGGCATGGTTGTAGCCATTCGGTATACTGCCATTGGGA